GCAGATTTTTCTATGTCTTCAGGGTGGTGTCTTTGAGCTGTTGTTACAGGCTGTCCAGTCTGACTGGGAGCTAGGTATCCTTGCCCAAGGTTGTTGACCTTTGGGGAAGATTAAGGGAGGTTTCTTAAATAGGAACCTGCCTTAGAAGATCTGCTTTTCTGATAAACAGAAGCCTGCTACTTACCGGACACCAGTTTTTAGGTTGGTTTACCTGATATCGGTGTTTTTATTTACCTGTCCAAAGTTCTCAGGCCAATGTTACCAGCACTGACATTTGGGGTGCTACTTTATACCTAACACCAACCTAGCATGGCTGGTGACCTCATGGGAACTGTATTATGGAGTCCCACCTTTTAGTTTCCATTATAGTCTGACATTTCCCACTCTGCATGCTGCTGGGGCATGGAGTAATTTCCGGACCCCGAATGCTGGGGTTACAGATGCATGCTGCATGGCCTGGCTCTTACATGGATGCTGGGTATTCAAACTCTGGTCCTCATGCCTGCACGGCAAGGGAGTATTTTTTACCACAAACTGCCTCCTCGGCCCAATCTTTAATTTTTAAATCTTTTTTTTAGTGTATTTTATTTCCAGTAGACACACCATCTTGAGCTACAATAGGTACATAACCAACGCTTTTCCCTATTCTAACCTCAAGCATCTTTGTTCAGAATTCTATGACCCTAGGAGCCTGGGAATACTCAAACATGTTCATCTGTATCAGAGTCAATGAATATTAAAATGACTCATATTTTCCCAAATTGTCGCTAGGAAAGAATGGAATGTGCCTTCTATTTCCCTATACATAACTATTTCTCTATAAGACACATAGGTGAAATTTAATATTTTTAATTAAAAATAGATTCCTTTTCTATATAATATATTCTAATTATGATTTGCCCTCCCCTAACTCCTCTCAGATCCTCCCCATATTCCCTACCCACCCAAACTCACACCTTTTCTTTTCTCTCTCATTAGAATACAAACAGGTACCTAAAATAATAACAATATTACTAATAAAAGAACATAAAAACAAACAAACCAGGATAGAACAAAACAAACAAACAGGAAAAAAGAGCCCCCCAAAAGGCAACAAGAAACACATGCACATGCTGAGACATGCATTCACACATGTAGAAACCCCACTAAAACAAAATCAGAAACCATAATATATAAGCAAAAGATCTGGGAGGCTTTAAAAATGCTCAGACAAAGCATTGTGAGACAAAAAATAAAAATAGCATTGAGTATGTGTTGATCATCTACTGGTGGGCATTGACCCTGCCTTTAATGTGCTTTGTATACCCAGCAAGACTCCACTGGGAAAGGCAAACCCCTAGTTTTTACACAAACAAAATTTCTGCTTTCTCTTGTGTGTCGGTAAAACAAAATTCCTCCTAGGAACTTGAACAAGGTTTTATTTTATCAGGGCTGACACCCAACAGGATCCTAATAGTGACATCCTACAAAATGACATGAAAGACACTACAGAGGCATGGTGGCTGCAGTACATTTTCTCTTAATGTCTTTTATATCCTAGGAACCAATTCAAGAGAAGTTAAAAGTATGACCCACAAGAAGAAATATTTGAAGTCACAAAGATTAAAAGTGAGTTCTCCTGCTGGTCAGACTATTGCTGTTTACCTCTTCATTAAAGAATATAAAACTTCACAAAACCAAACGATAAAAATTTAAAAGACATGAGCTATAAATTCCCAAATCTAGGTGATAGGTGGGGACAAACCAGTGTTTGTTACGGATCTGTGCTAGGACCACTGAGGAATATTTAATTGTATCTGTATGTGTGGCTCCCTTATTGTTGCCTGCATTGAATACACATTTGGGCCCATGTAACCAAACAGTCAAATCTAAGTTCACATCCAGATAGTTTTTGTAAAAAGAGAGAGAGATACTAATCTTGACAGTACATGGCAAGACTGACTCTGCTTGAGAGTTCTACTAAATTCCTAACTTGGAGGTTGAAGATGCACTCAACTTGGTTGCCCTTTCTGGAGCACAAAGTGTGCCTCATAGTGTTCATTCTCATACACAAAACATAAAGGAACACTAATGTCCCTAGGAGAACACTAGTGGACTATACTACTTTAAGATAAAACCAAGGACTGGAGAGATGGCTCAGCCATCAAAGGCTAGGCTCACAAACAAACATGTAAGATAAAACCAAACTATGCTCAGCAGGTAAAGGCACTTGCTGCCAAGCCTAAGTTGGCTCCTCCATGGTGAAAGGACAAAAACAACTAGCAAAGTTGTCCTCTGAACTAGACAAACACCTATTGCACAGACACAGAGACATACACACACACACACACACACACACAGGGATAAAAACAACAAAACTAATAACCCTTAATAATATTCCAACCAATACACAATTCAATGAGTAAGAGAGTCTCAATATAAGGAAGTTAGCTATGAGGTTAAAAACAAAGTCACTCAACCCTTTTTTTTTTTTTTTCCATGCTATAGAAAGCACAGTAAGGGCCTCAGTAACTTTAAACTCTGTTGACTCTTGAGTAGTTAAGCTTTAGGAGTATTAGAAATATTTAGAAAAAAAATTCTTTATGAGATAAAAGGATTTAATTATCATCCACTAAATATTTGCAATATAAGCCAGAATTTTAAGTTTTCCAATGTGTTAAATCTTACAGGAATAAGGGGAACACTCCTCCACTGCTGGTGGGAGTGCAAACTCATACAGCCATTTTGAAGATTAGTATTCCTCATCAGTATTCCTCAGGAAAATGGGAATTAGTTTACCACAGGACCTGGCAATCCCCCTCTTAGGCATATACCCAAATGATTCACATCCATGCAACAAAGACATCTGTTCAACTATGTTCATAGCAGCACTATTTGTAATAGCAAGAACCTGGAAGCAACCTACATGCTCCTCAATTGAAGAATGGTTAATGAAGATGTGGCACATCTACACAACGGAAAAAATAATGGTATCTTGAAATTCCCAGGCAAGTGGATGGCACTTGAAGAAACCATCCTGAATGAGGTAACCCAGTCACAAAAAGAGGAACACAGTATGTACTCACTCATATATGGATTTTAGACCCAGAGCAAAGGATCACCAGCCTATAATTCACACCAGCAGAGGAACTAGGATACAAGGTGTATTCTAAGAGATTCATATAAAGTCCTTCACAGAACCGGGAAGGGACAAGTCCCCCAGAGCACAGGGGAAGTGGAGGGGTGGGGGGGGGCACTGAATGGAGAGAGAAGTAGGAGAAAACAAGGGGGACGAAAGGAAAACACGTGCGACCAGGAAGATTGAGCCCGGTTAGGAATAAAAGATGAGAGAGAGAGAAAGAGAGAGAGAGAGAGAGAGAGAACATAAAAGAGGGAGCCAATATTGGTTTGAAGATAAAATTGAACACAAAGAAAGATCCAGAGAACTACAAGACTGCTGCCAACTAACAATTTGAGCATCCGTGGAAAGGCTACTATAAATGCCCTTCCCGGATAGTGAGATCAACAACTAACTTATCCATGAAGCCCTCATCTAATGCCTGTTGGAAACAGGAGCAAACACCCATACATAAACACTGAGTCGAAGTAGAACCCAGATGCAGATGGAAAGGACAAGACCAGGTGGCAGAAACACATACAGACAGCTTACCTGAACAAGGAGGAGCTAACGGGCCACCAGACTGATAGCTGGGAAGCCAGCATGGGACTGACTCAGGCCCCCCTGAATATGGGTCTCAGCCAGAAGGACTGAGAAGTCTAAGGGACCTCAGACAGTGGAGCCAGGATGTATCCCTGGTGCACAAAAGGACCTTGTGAACACATCCCCCATGGAGGGATAACTACCTTAATCTAGAGACAGGAGAGAAGCCCTAGTCCCTACTTCACATGACCTGTCAGATCTACATGACTCCAACTGGAATTGGGGTGGGGGGATGGGATGGGAGGGTGGTTAGGGGGCATTGAGAGGGCAGAGAGGATAAAAGGGAGGGAGGGAGGGAGAGGGAACTGAGATCGGCATGTAAAATAATAAATTAAATAAAAAAAAATGCTTTGACTACAAAATTTAAGTTCAAGTTACTGGGGAAAAGGATTTCTATTTTTGTTTCCACAGAAAATGAAAAGCTGTGGATTCCTTCCAGACTAATGTGGTTTGATCAAGCCAGACTGCCTGAAACAGAGTGCCAGGTGATCCTACATTCAAAACAGCTGGACAAAGCAGCCTTACAGACTACAGCCAGAATTTCTGAATCTTCTTCGAATCCCCCATGACAGCGCCCCTTACCAGCAGGAAGTAGTTTGGAAAGAACGACGCCCAAATTCCCAAATATTGTCTATAAATGTTTGTTTTCATTTAAATGGACTTGGTTATATAAAATAAATAAATAAATAATTATTGAGGAACATAATTTTGAAAAAAAAAAATTCTTACAGGAATAAATGAAAGCTCAAGCATAATGTGGTTGAAGGAGTGTCCACTGCCCAGGGTCTTTAACCCCTCAGGAAGTTCTCAGTGCTCAGAGAATACGGTTCTCCCTCCCAGTCTTCTCATCTGTCCTCCTAGATCTGACTCTTCTTTATCTTTTCACAGTGATCTACACTTCTTTACATTCATTTCTCTTCACAAACACTGAACTACCGCATGCAAAGTAAGACCTCTCCAGCGGTTTGGTCAAAAAAGTCCCTTTGGCCATTTCCTAAACAGTCTCTTCATTAATTTCTTGAGCCATTTATAATTGGAGAAAGATGGAGTGGGAATTAACTATTAACTCAGATACTTGCTTTTTTACTAGTTGAAACCTTCTGAAGTGTGTGGTGATGGAGCAGGTCTCTGCATCCGTTCTGTATCGGGAGAAGTACCCATGAAGAGGCTGTCTTGGATCCATCCTTGCCCAGGAAAGCCATTACTGAAGACTCCAGAAGGTGGTTAAGGGGTTGGCCCACCGCATGGACTGCAGGCTCCAGTGAGTCTGCGCATTTGTTCTCATCCCTCCGCCCTGAGGGAGGGCTGTTGCCCTTGACAACCCAGGCAGCCTGAGGAGCTTGAAAACCAGCTGAGTGCTAGACTCTGCACTGCTGCCTCTGATGGCTTTGCAGCCAGGTCTAGTGCTGAGAGCACCATCCACCGTGATCTGTCTCAGCCTGTGCCTGTGCCTAATAGGGTGAACTGGATCCTTGGGACTTGAGACAAGTGAAATGTGAGGTAATGGCGTGCCGCTTTACTTTTGCTACCTGTCAAAATGGACACGGAGTGTGGAGAAAAGGGGATGAGGAGGGAAAGAAGAGGGTGAACACATCTCCGTTCTCCGTCTTTTATGACCTCTCATTTCAACCTTTAAAAAAAAAACACTTTACTTTATTGCTACTTAGGCCTTGAGATGTGGGACCTCTCTATGTTGCCCAGATTGTTCTTGAATACCTGGACTGAGCAATTATCCTGCCTCAGCATTACAATTAGCTCCCAATAACTATTCATTCTCACCCATTCGTTCTAGATTTCATCTAGCACTGAGTCCCGGTATATGGGTGTACCATGAAGTGAGGTAGAAAGTAAAATACTTAATATCATTATAACATCAAGATTACCCACCAATCACCTTGAGTAAAATATTCATTAAAATATCAATCGGAAAACTGGGAAAAGAAAAAGGGCACATGGATGTATATGGCCAGGAAATTAAGAAGGACTGGTCATAAAAAATATGGAAATAAATTTCTTGGTTTCTGAAGACTCCAAAGGCATTTGAACTGATCTTGAAGATCAAAGGTTAGAACATACCATCACAGGAATTATGGGCAAAATATTAAGACAATAAACTGGGTATTAGCTAATTTGTATACCAACAGGCTTTCCAGAAAAGGTTAATGCCAAAGTTGCTAGACTTTGAAATTGGAACGGCCATGTTAGGTAGAGAAGGTGGGCAGGAAGCTGTTCATGAAGGAAGTGGTGTGTCCTCTGAAGATTCTAGACTTGATACTCTTTATTTTTATTTTTTTTTTTAAAAAATCATTTTTGAGGCTGGTGAGATGGGCCAGTGGTTGGGTCTTGCTGCTTTCGCAGAGAACCAGAGTTCAATTCCCAGCACTATGCCAGGAAACTCAATTTAACTCCAGCTCCAGGGGATCCAATGCCCTCTTCCATGGGCATACAAACACACAATAACACACAATTTTTAAAGTAAATTTTTTTATGTTTACACACACATACACGCACACACACACACTCGAACACTCACACACCAAGGCTCAAGGAACATCATGGATAAAAAAGTAAGATTAAAAATCAGAAGTTGAGGGTAGGGCTGTGCAACATCTTTCTCCAGGCATAACACGGTTGATGCACTCACAAACACACTACAGATGTGATCACCTACATAAGTATGGAGCCATCAACTTTTTCATCATGAGAGGGAGGAAGGGCTCAAGAGGCTGCACCCGACACTGAGGAACTACTGACAGTTAATGACATCTGAGGGAAAGGGTATCATTCTCTTCAGTGGTGTAACACAGAATCAAGGAAATAACCTTCCAGGCATGTCCATCAAGGCAACCCTATTTAACTCAGCAGATCAGACACCTAAAAAGACAGGAAAGCCATAATGGGACTTGTTGCTTTCAAGAAAGAGTTTTGGCAGAAGAATGTGGAGAGATAAGACAGAATAATGGGGGGGTGAGAAAGACTAAAATTCATTATACACATGAATGAAACTGCCCAAAATTAAACCCTAATTACTTTAAACAATTATTCAATTATTTTAGCTTTATGTGAAAACAATAATTGGTTTTATCTCTGCTGAACATGCTAAGGATAAATGATAGACATGATCTCTCTCTAATTGTTCCAGAATATCTGTGCTAGTTGTAGCGTGTGGCAATTGGGCTAGGAATAACAACTAAGGGACTTGTTTTTTTTAACCTTATTCTAGGTTGGTGTTGGGATTAAGAGAAAATAAAATAAATAAATGATCCATTATACATTTTTACAGAATTGGGATCCTTAATTGGCTTGTAGAGCAGCCAAATCTAGTTTTGCTTTTAAAAAAGAATTCTGACCAGTTATTCCATGAATGTACTTTTTGTCTTCCCACAACTGACCTGGGCATCTTTAAAGAACATGCACATATACTTTTGCTGATTAGTATTTTTATGAGCTCTTCATTTGGATGACTTTACTATGGGCCTCATCGAGAATTACAGAGACACTGATTATTTTACTTCCCAGCTTACCACATTCTGCTTCCACTGGGATGCTACAACAGTGAATAAACCTATCCATACACACAAAATTAATTTTTTCTGAAAGTGTCAATTAACAGCATTATTGACGTTTCATTATTCCCCTACACAAGTTCTAAAGTTCTGTGGATGTAGTCATGGTAGAGAAATTAAGCTTGGCTGCCTTTAAGTCTGAACTCTTGATTGCTTCTTGGAGACAGTGTCTGAAATCATACAACTTGTTTCAGTCACATGGTTTCTGTGCTGTTGCATTAATAAACATTGAGAAAATAAATTTTAGAAACCAAAGGTTCATTAAAATAACCAAGTCATTAGATTTGAATTCACAGCATCATTTTTTCAAAACTGTCAGGAGGCACAAGGGGAGTTGAAGGGAAAAGGTGAGATACAAATTATGAAATTCTCAAGTAAATTTTGAAAGAAGAAAATACAAAATACGACTAGCATAAGTTGACTGTGAATATAAATGAATCATTGAAGCTTCACTGAATTTTTTCCAATACTATTCTATAGTTGACCTTTATTCTTTATTGTCTAGAACTGCTACTAAGTAATAAAGGATAACATGTGCAAAATATCAGTATTTCCTCATCATAGAAAGAAACTTTTTCATTCTGGAGGTTGTTATTCAGAACACGTAGATGTGCACTAAGGGCTGTGAGAGGTAATAGTATAGAAAGAAAAAAAACCTCTGACCTCTAAGTTTAGGAAGATTGTTGTCAATCACTAAGAACCAGATGTATGAGTTTTCTCTGAGAAAAAGTGTATGTGTTTTGTATTCTTTTGTAGAAGTCTGGTAATAAAGGTATCACCGAAAGTTAGAAACAAAATCAAACAGAGGAAATTCTGAAAGTATGGGATGTGGAAATTCAAAAATATCTTCATCAAATATTGTTGTCTTAGGGGTGAGTGTCATACTTTCTCATTACTGAGATCAAGTTCCCCCAAAGTAATTAAATGCAAAGGGGTTTGTTTCGGCAGATCATTCCTGAAGGATGCAGTCTATCATAGTAGGGAGGAAATGGCAGAAGGCAGGGGAGGTGTGATGTTAGAAAGAGGAGGCTTTGGACTTGGTAGTTCACATTGCATATGCATTCAAGAATCAGAGAGTGAACAGCAAGTGGGAATGGGCTACAATTCCTCAGTGCCCACCTCTAATAACTAACTTTCTCCAGTGAGACTCTACCTCTTAAAGACCAAATGACCTCTTCCCAAACAGCACCATCAGCCAGGGACCAATCATTCAACATGTGATTCTATGGAAGGCACTTCACACTCAAATCACAGCAGTAAGACTAAATTCAGTGTTTTAAACTATGTCAGTTTTTTAAAGGGTGATCTTGTATCTAGAAAGAGGTGTATTTGAATGACTAAGAGGCACAAGCTTTTTGAAAGTCATGCTGATTATCTTCTGTAGCTTTTGCCTGGTCTTCCAGCCCTTCATGAACAAGTATGTGCTGAGATATGAGTACATCCACTGAATTCCCACATCCGAGGGAATCCAGTTATAAGAATAATTATCAAATTTAAAAATGTGTATGTGTTTGTTAGTTTAAAAGAGATTATCATTGATCTCTTTTCTCCACTGCACTCACATTTGTACAGTAGGGTGAACACACACTCCCATTCAGTTGCAATCCCGAGGGATTAAAACTTACCTAGTTCTATTAACAAACACCAAGAAGTTAGGAAAATCACACTTTCATAAATAGTGGGAGAAAACTGTTCCACAGGTTTTCCTCTGAGTTTTCAGACTATGCAGACCAGCTATTCAAGCTGTTGCATGGGAGTTCTTAGCTCTGTGGTGACAGACCACTCTGAGAATAGAACAAAATATCTTAATCTGCTCTCCTTGATTCGTTTGATTCATGTATATGCTGCCATCCTTTGCAGTCTGGTTGGTTGGTTGGTTGGTCGGTTGGTTGGTTGGTTGGTTGGTTGGTTGGTTGGTTGGTTGGTTGGTTAATGGGATAGTTGGTTGGTTGGTTGGTGAATGGGGTGGTATAAGTGAGACTTCCTAGAACCTAGTGATAAGTTCTGAATTAATAATCAATTTTTCAATAAGAAAACTTTAGTTTGTACCTCATGTACCACCAGAGTTCTTCGTAAGCCTTGCTTGTTCTTCCTGGACAGATCCTATGTCTGCTACAACCAGTAAGAACTCTATAGCCAATGCATGATTAGCTTGCTTCCATCTTTTACAAAGATGTTAAAAGTTTATTGAAACTGTATTTTCCATTACATTTTGGTTCTAACAGCTCTCTCTTCTCACAGGTTGTCCAGATAATGATTGGCATTTATCATGTACTCATGTGGTATTTCCTATTGCTATTGTATATGGGACAAATTAAAGGAGTATTTGGGACTTATGAACCTTTAACTTACAAAATGGGAACTGCTTTATGGGGACTTGCTGTGAGTAGAATACATTTGTGTTGACTTCATTAATTCAGTAAATTACATTTACTTGTAGATGGTAGGGGTTAGTTTCTAAATAAGGTTTTCAAGGAGAATCATATAACTCAATGACATTTACTGAATTATTCAAAATCCAGTTCCTTCTTTCAACAAATCTACATTGAGCATCTTTAATTTACAATTACTATAAAAGAAATGTGGACACAAGAGCAAATGACAACAACAATGTGGACTATATCCCTAGCTATGTCAAAGACAAAGACTCTTAACCACCATGTCCATTATCATGGTTAGTTTTAGATTTTTCCATTACCCACATTCTGATGTGGTTTCTAAATAGTCATTGGGCAGAAGAGAAACTCAGAGTATGGGGGATCCCTAGAAGTCAAGGGAAGAATATATCACAAGACATAAAAAAAATCAGTTCTATCATCTTTTGTTGGTGTGTTATTATGATAAAGTTTGAAAACTGTCTACTGGGCTTTTGAATATGGTATCCAGTCATAAACATAACTGACTAGTAGTTTCAATAAAATGACATGAAATCCTAGTTGGATTTAGTTTAGGGAAATAGAATAAGAGCCAGGGAGATTTATATATTTTTTTAATTTTCTTTTTGGTAATTCTATACTTGTGTACAATGCAATTTGTTCATTTCTACCTGACTCCCTTCCTCCAGCTCCTCTTGGAACCCCAACACATTCCCTTTCAACCTCATGTCCTTTTTTCTATTGTCTTTTACTGGCATGGGGATGGAACTGGAATAAAAATAAATAAATGTTATGAGATAATAAGAGGAATATTGCAATTATGTATTTATGTTGACAAGAAATAATGAATTTTAGTGAACAAATAACTATGGTCATGTTCTTCAGTGATGGTTCTCAATTAGTGTTAATTTTACCCCCTTAGAAACCATGTCATAGTATCTGAAGATGCTCTGGATTTTTACAACCTTGACAAAAGCCAAGGATGCTGCTAAGCCTCCTATAATGCACATAATTTTCAAAGAATTATAGCCATTCATGTAAATAGTGCTAAAGCAAAGTGACAAGAGGGAACAAAGAAAGAATGACATATCAGATGAATCAAGGTACCATCGCTTCACACCCTGATATGCTGTTACCATCCCTTCACATCTTGCTGAATGGTATGCTAGCATGCCTTCACACCCTAATGAGCTGAATTCCATCTCAAACGCTGAGCTAAAATAAACCTTTAAATGACAAAAAAAAAAAAAAAAAAAAAGAACAGATCAGATTCTGACCTGATTTTGGAAGCTTGTAGACAATTTCCTACAAAAGCTTCAAGTAGCTTAATGTAACAGAAAGAAAAAGATGAGCTGAAAGTGGGGGCAGGCATGTGGACCAGCCATTAGAAGAGAGGAGAGTGTGGAAGTGGCCATCTGAGAAAAGTGGGGGAACATGTGGTTTATGGAAAAGTAAATTGATATTTGTACAGCATTAAGGACTCAAGGTTTAGGAACATAACTGCATTGTGAGATAAATCTTTATTCAAGAGGTGCTCATCTGAATGGATGCAGGAATGCAACAGGGTCATAACTATATTTCATCAGGAGTTCAAATAATTAAAATCATCTAGAAAGGGATGAATGACAAAGCAGTCAATCGGTGATTGTGGATGAGAACATCTGAAACACTTGTCTTAAATCTTGAGGGGGGGGAAGGAGTGGTAGAAATAGACAATAGAACAACAACAACAAAACCCCACTGTCCTTGTACTGGAACAAAGATGGTCCACTGGCTGTTGCAGAAGATGTTGAGTGACCTTGAAGACATTTGCCTTTATCCATATGCTGACTCGGTGTCCAAGGACAAAAATCTAAATAAGCCATGCTGATAAGCAATCCAATGCCTCATCAATAAGAAAAGGTGCATTTGGCTCATTAATGAGGAAAAAAGAATGTGGAAGAAAAGAATGTGGAAGAAAGAAGAAAATAAAAGATAAGATAACAAAGCAGAATTTTCAGACAAAACTCAGAGAAATGATTTGTGTTCTCTGTGCCTAGAGAGGCAGCTCAGTCAGAAGTGCTTACTGCTCAAGCATGAGAACCTGAGTTCCATGCCCAGTACCATGTTTTCTGTGCTTTTACTGTGTTGCTTTTAGTATGGTGTTTTATTTTGTTTCATTTTGTTTGTCCTTTTGTTTTGAAGTAGTGTTTCTGTTTGTATATTTGCTTGCTTGCTTGCTTGTTTTGAGAAAAAAAGAACATATCAAGTTGTATAAAGAACTTGGGGAGAGGAAAGACAATGATAAAATGTGTTGTATGAAAAGCTTTTAATATGATTTCTAAGACATGGCTACTACTTCCCAAAAAATTAACCTTTGCTAAAATCACCAAAATAAGAAAAATACAAAAGCTTCAGAGATGGCTGAGTGATTTAGAGCCCTTGCTGCTTTTGCAGAGGACCAAGGTATGGTTCCCAGAACCCATACCAGGGGATTCACAACTTCTTGTAACTTGTGTTCTAAGAGATCTGATACCTACTCCTGACCTCTGCAGGAACTGCAAGCACACACATACATACATATAAATAAAAATAAGTAAAATTTAAAACAGACAGACTGTTTCTGGGAAGTTGTGTAGCCTCCTTTCAAATAACACATGTACTTTTTGGAAAATAGAAATATTGAAATGAAATAATGAAATATCTTTTAAAATAACTTTTATAAAAGACAAGGTAGCTGGAAAGATGACCCAGTGAATAAGAATACTTTGTATGTACTCACTTATATATGGATTTTAGACAAAGAGCAAAGGATCACCAGCCTATAATTCACACCGCCAGAAGAACTAGGATACAAGGAGAATTCTAAGAGATTCATATAAAGTCCCTCACAGAAGAGGAAAGGGACAAGATCTCCAGAGCACATTGTGGAGGGCAGTGAGTGGAGAGGGAACTAGGAGAAAGAGAAGGGGAGGAGAGGAAAGCACATGGGACTAGGAAGATTGAGTAAGGTGAGGAATAGACAAGAGAAGAGAGAGAGAGAGAGAGAGAGAGACAGAGAGAGAGAGAGAGAGAGAGAGAGAGAGAGACCATAAAAGAGGGAGCCATTGTAGGTTTGAAGAGAAAACTGAACCTAGAGAAATATCCGGAGACCTACATGACTGGCCCCAACTAACAATTTGAGCAACAGTGGAAAGGCTACCATAAATGCCCTTTCCTGATAATGAGATCAATGACTAACTTATCCACTATCATGGAGCCCTCATCTAGTAGCTGATGGAAACAGAAGCAAACACCCACAACTAAATACTGAGCCAAACTAGAATCCAGATGCAGAGAGGAAGGACAAGACCAGGCTGCAGAAATGCATAGAGACAGCTGACCTGAACAAGGAGGAGCTAATGGGAACCCCAGACTGATATCTGGGAATCCAGCATGGGACTGACTCAGACCCCCTTGAACCTGGGTCTCATCTAGAAGGCCTGAGCAATCTAAGGGACCTCAGACAGTGGAGCCAAGATGTATTCCTTGTGTACAAAAGGACTTTGGGGGCTCATCCCCCATTGAGAGATACTCCCTTAACCTAGAGACAGGAGAGAAGTCCTAATCCCTACTGTACCAAATGACTTGACAGATGTAGATGACCCCTCCTGGAGGACATCACCCTACATGTGGAGTTGGGGGAGATGGGAGGGGAGGGTGGTCAGGGTGCATGAGAGGGAAAGAGGGATGGAGGGAGGGCGGGAAGAAAGGAGAGAGGGAGAGGGAACTGGGATCGATATGTAAAATTAAAAAAAAAGATGATTCACATGGGTTTTAATAATAAATATATGTCATTGTTGCTACAAAGTGCATCAGAAAATAAAAAGAAACAGTGTCTTGATTAAAAAAAGAAGAAGAATACTTGCTCTGCAAGCAGTTGTGAAAAATCAAAGTTCAAATCCCTAGTACATAAAAAGTCAGGCATGGCTGGACATACCAGTAACAGCAACAGCCAAATTCCAAGTACTCAGTGGTCAGCCAGCCTAGCTGAAACAGAAAACTCCCAGTTCATTGAGAATCCCTGTTTGAAGACAATAAAGTGGGGAACAATAAAAGAAAACATGTGTATGATTAGATGTATGTCCTGGAGCACATCCACATGCATACTACATACATACACTAGACATGGCATGCATATATAAATAGATAAATAAAGTGAAAGCCTGGGTATTCATTCTGTAACCTTAATGGTGACTACCGCCTCACAAGGAAGAGGCTGTTTTTTTACAGTCACGGTGTCTAAAGGATTTATGAAACATTTTTTTCACATCGGGATGTATACACAGTCATTACAGTTCATATCTCACAAGGAACAAAATAAGTTGGAGTAACACCTAAACAGATTACGTAAGAGGTAACATATAACCAAACTTGGTCCCTGCTTCAGAAAGTCTTAGGAGACCATTGCCTAAATCCTGTCCACTGTCCCATGCTTACACCTGTTGTAACACTCCTGTTACTTTCAATACCTGTCACCTTTTGAAAACATGATTATCTCATAATGGAAGCTCATCCCAAACCCTTCTACTAAAACTTCTCTCTATGTTACTTTTAGTATTCTGAAAATCTTGTTCTTAAAGATAGTTGTTTTAAAGTATGCTTAAATTGCTGAGCATTATCAATGAGTATTTACCAATATATGTTTTGTGTCTAGTTTATCATTTCAGGAGCCTTCACAGTAAAAGCATCAAAATATCAAAGTAGATATATGGTAAGTTGAAATGTTTGGGATGTGTCTAGTATGAACTTTCACAAAACAGAAAAGAGGTTTCAATGAAAAGGTAGTGTTGGGGCTGGAGAGATGGCTAAGCAATTAAGGGCACTTATTACTCTTACAAAAGACTTGAGTTTAGTTCTCGGCGCCCATGTTGACTCACAGTTTCCAATAACTCCAACTCCAAGAGATCTGACTCCCTCTGCAGGCATCTGAAGGCAGCTGCACTCACAGGCTTGCACACACACACACACACACACACACACACACACACACATACTTTAAAATAAAGAAAAAAATAGCCTCTAAACAATAAAGTTATTTACCATCCCTATAAAATAAGTGAGGAAAATAAGTTAAAAACCAGAGATCATATTACCTAATTACAGATACATTTACATTTGATTGTTAACTTCTAAATTTAAATAATAATTTTGTTTGGATGTTCTATCCTTAAGATTGTATGAATACTGTAACTAAAAAATTGATTATAGGATTTAAACTCTTTCTTCTCTGTGAACATTACTGTGCTTTAATCTTCATTTCCTGGCCTACTCACTTTGGGGAAAGGGTTGTACCTTGTATCAAAGTAGGGAATTTTCTAAGAAAAAAAATAACTTACCATAGTGTAGGCAGAACATTTTTAGAAATAAAAAAAATCAGAATTTTATACCTGAAAGACAGGTATCAAGTAATTAATGTAATTAGGAATCAATTAATCTAATCTTAAATGTTTACACACCAAGAAATCTGAGAATGGATGGATGGCTTGGGAGTTAAGAGCACTTGCTGCTCTTACAGAGGAATCAGGTTCAATCCCCAGCACAAACATAGTGGCTCAGAGCCATTGTAACTCAAGTCTAAAGGGATCTGACATTCTCTTCTGTCTGACATAGCACTGATGTATGTGATACACTGACACGCATCCAGACAAGATACCCATACACATAAAATAAAGTAAAAAAAAAAAAAAAAAAAAAAAAAAAAACCTAAAAACCCAGGGTGCAAACTTATTGACTCTCTTTTCCCATAAGTTTTCTTTATTTCTTGTAAATATTTCAAACATCTTGATCTTTCTTCCATCTGAATCATAAGATTCTAAAATACAAAGATTTTGAACATTGATGGAATTCAAAACTTGACAAGTGTCTAATAATGGATTCGTGTTTCCTCTACACTAATTAGATTTCATATAAACCAGGAAATGGCAAGCATAAACACACTTTGAGAGCTTAGCAAACGATAAGGGAATTTTACTCAATTGTTTCCTAATAAAACAAAGCAACAACAGAAACATCCAAAAAATTCCAAAGTACTTCTGGGTATTTGTAAGTGACTCCATGTGTCCTTTTCAGCTTATCTGCGCCCTGTCCCTGAACATACTCTGTATGATTATCACGATCATTGCAGCCAGCCTGACAATAGTGGAGTTGGCTCACTTCCGTTCCGTGTCATACAGGAATTACGGGCAAGCAGTAAGTAACTGAATTTATAGAAACAGCCTTTGTTTTATGTTTGTGCTATTTTATTCTTTGAGGGTTTCATACAATATAGTTTGATCATATTCACTACCTACTCCCCCCCAACTCCATTCAGATATAACCTCATTTCCCTATCTTAATTTCATTTCTTTTGTATATTTATTTCAATAATCAGATGTCTATTTTGCACTGCCCTTATATTCACAGATGTGAGGCCATCCACTGGAGTGTGATTGATCTTCCTAGGGCTATACCCTAAAGAAAACTGATTTTCCTTGCCCAGAAACTATCAACTGTCAATGGTCCCTCAGTCAGGGATGGAGACTCCTACGCTACCTCTCCCCAGCCTCTCCCAGCCTCTAGAATGTTGATTGGTTTGACTTTGTGTGCATCTTGTGCAGGAAAACACAGGTTCTGTGAGTTTCTGAGTCCAGAAGCCCTGGCTTGTCCAGAAGACACAGACATTATTTCATGATGGTCCTCTGTGGTCTATGGGTCTCAACAAGCTCTTTGTCTCCTCCTCTAAGATGGTCCCTGAGGAGTGTGTGTGTGTGTGTGTGTGTGTGTGTGTGTGTGTGTGTGTGTGTGTTGTGTCTACATATGTGAAAGCCAAAGAATAACCTCATGTATCTTTTCTCAGGCACTGTCCATCTTTGATTTTGTGGTAGTGTCATTAGCCCCAAATTCCCCAAGTAAGCTAGGCTAGCTGGCTAGTGAACCACAAGCCCCATCCAGTCTCTGTCTTCCCAGTACAGAATGAGCACCCTCATTCTCCCCTCCCCATGCCCCCACCTGTTTCTCAAGTTCTGGAAATTGATCTCAATTTCTTGTGCCTTAAAGGCAAGCACTTTACTGAGACATCCCCCAGTCTCTCCATAGATGACATCTTAATGCAAAAAGAGTACATTCCTGGACCACTAATCCATTCACCAAACCAGGAAGAGAGCTGTGCTGTTGCTCTAATGTGTTCAAACCATGAATACCTAGTTGTTTCTGACTTCACATAGGACAGCCTGCCTTTTCATCTTATGTAGATTTTGCTTTAGCTCATCACTGCTAAATGTAAGTCAGTGTCAGACTTATTTCTTTGTACCAGGGACTCAATTAAATAGAAGTGCAACACATCATACTATAATACATGTGAATAGCCTTGTTGATAAAAATAAAATAGATTTTCTTGAGTTGCGTTGGCTTGGAATTAAGAATCATCAGAAAATAGAAAAACCTCCCATGCTCATAGACCAGTGGTATTAACATAGTAAAAATAGTCATCCTACCCAAATTATTCTACAGATTCAACACAATTCCCTTAAAAATCCCAAAACAGACCTTGAAAGGACCATTCTCAACTTCATATAGAAAAAAAAATCAAAGATAGCTAAAACAATCCTAAACAATAAAAGAACTTCCAGAGGTATCACCATCCCTGATTTCAAGTTGTAAAACAGAGATATAATAATAAAAACCACTTGGTATTGTTATAAAAACAACACCATTGATCAATGTAATTGAATTGAAGATACATATGTAAATCCACCAATCAACATCTATGCTTTTTTTTTAAATAAAGAAACCAGAAATACACAATGGAAAAAGAAAGCATCTTTAATAAATGGTGCTGGTGTAGCTAGATGTCTACATGTAGAAGAGTACAAATAGATACATATTTATCATCCTGCACAAAATTCACATCCAAAAATATTAAAGACCTCAATATAAAACCAGATACACTAGCTTTTACAAATAATGCTGCCATGAACATAGTTGAACAGATGTCCTTGTGGTATGAATGTGCATCCTTTGGGTATATGCCTAAGAGTAGAATTGCTTGATCTTGAGGTAGACTGGTTCCCATTTTCCAGAGGAACTGTCATACTGATTTCCAAAGTGGCTGTACAAGTTTGCACTCCTACCAGCAATGGAGGAGCATTCTGCTTTTTCCACATCCTGTCCAGCATAAATTGTTGTTGATGTTTTTCATTTTAGCCATTCTGACAGGGGTAAGATGGTATCTCAGAGTTGTTTTGATTTGCATTTCCCTGATAGCTAAGGATATTGACCAATTTCTTAAGTGTCTTTCAGCCATTTTAGATTCCTCTATTGACAATTCTCTATTTAGTTCTGTACCCCACTTTTTAATTGAATTATTTGGTGTTTTGTTGACTAGTTTCTTGAGTTCTTTGTATATTTTAGAAATCAGCCCTCTGGCAGATGTGGGGTTGGTGAAGATCTTTTCCCAGTCTGTGGACTGCCATTTTGTCTTGTTGAGTGTGTCCTTTGCTTTACAGAAGCTTCTCAGTTTCGGAGGTACCATTTTTTTTTAATTGTTGATCTGAGTGTCTGTGCTATTGGTGTTATGTTCAGGAACTATTGGGGTGGAGTTGGGGGGGTTAAAGAGGGTGTGGGAGGATGGGAGGGAGAGGGAACTGGGATTGATATGTAAAATAAGATTGTTTCTAATTGAAATAAAATTTATTTAAAAAGAAGATACACTGAATCTAGTAGAAAATAGGGGATAAACTTGAACACATTGGCACAGGAAACAACTTTCTAAACAGAACAATGATAGTGCAGGCACTAAGATCAACAATTAATAAATAGGACCTCATGAAACTGAAATGCTTCTGTACCACAGGACATTGACAATAGACAAAACAGCACCTACAGCATGGGAAAAGATTTTCATCAACTCCACATTCAATAGAAAGCTAATATCCAGAATAGATAAGAACTCAAGAAACTAGACATTAACAAACCAAACCAATCCAATTTTAAAATGGGGTACAGATCTAAATAGAGAAATCTCAAAAGAAGAATCTCAAATAGTTGAGAATCACTTAAAGAAATATACAACCATCAGGGAAATGTAAATCAAAACTACTTTGAGATTCCACCTGTCAGAATGGCCAAGATCAATAACACAAGTGACAGTTCATGCTGGTAAGGATGTGGAGTAAGGGGAAAACTCCTCCACTGCTGGTAGAAGTGCAAACTTGTACAGCCACTTTGGAAATCAATATGGCAGTTCCTCAGAAAACTAGGAATCCATCTACCTCAAGACCCAGCTATACCACTCTTGGGTATTGTATTGTTTTGAATGAAAATGGCCCCTAAAGGGAGTGGAACTATTAGGAGGTGTGGATTTCTTGGAGGAAGTGTGTCTCTGTGGAGGCAGGCTTTGGGGTCTTTCAATAAACACCCAATGAGATAAGCCACTTCCTGTTGCCTGCAAGTCAAGATGTAGGCCACAAGGCTACTTCTCCAGCACTATGACTGCCTGCATACCACCATGTTAATAATGGACTAAACCTCTGAAAATATAAGCCACCCCATTATATGTATTTTCTTTATAAAATTTTCCTGCTGTGGTCATGGTGTCTCTTCACAGCAATAGGAACCCTAACTAAGACAGGCATATACACAAAGGATGTTCCACCTTACCACAACTATGTCCATGGTAGCTTTATCTATAATAGCCAGAAACTGGAAACAACCTAGAAGTCCCTCGATTGAAGAAGGGATAAAAAGAAGAAAAAATGTGGTACATTTACACAATAGAGTATTACTCAGCTGTTAAAAAAAATAGAATCATGAAATAAATTTTCAGGCAAAAGGATTAGACTAGAAAAAAAAATCATTCTGAGTGAGGTAACCCAGACCCAGTAAGACAAATAAGACTTATAAGTAGAACTTAGCTATTAAGTAAATGATAACCAAACTATAATCCACAGATCCAGAGAGGTTAGGTTAAGAGGAGAGCTCTAGTTAGGATTCATAGATCTCCCTGGGAAGGAGAATAGATTTTGTGGGTAGACTGGGAGAAGGAAGATAGGGGTAGAAGGAGACAGTGTAGGGAAAGACAGCTAGAACTGATGGGAGGCACTTGGGGGTGGAAACATAGTGCCATGGAAACTTCCTGGAATCTAAGAAGGTACCCTAGTGAGGACCCTAGTAATGGAGGACATGGAGTCTGAACTGGCCATCTTTTTGTAGCCAGGCAAGGCTTCTAGTGGTGGAAGTGGTTGAGTTGTTAGCCACGGCAGTCCCGTGGAGATCCCTAAACAATCCAGGCTGATGCTAGGACAAAGGGCTGCTCTTTGAAGACTGCCAGGAGGATTTCCATTGCTGAGGACAACATATACACTGCTCATTGAAAGTAGAGAGGTTAAACCAGTGCCTGCATGGAGCCTTTACCCCTATGTTCTATTCTCTTTGGTATGGGGAGGTACTTACAAATCAAGGTTTCTCTGCCCAACCCGGTCCCTATTTTGTTTTTGTTTTTTTTTTTCCCCTTAAGTTTCTATATTCTGTGCATGGTTATTCCAACCACATATTTGTGAAGCATCCACAGAGGCCAGAAGAAGATGTTGAATCCTGTGGTCACCATGTGGGTGCCGGGAATTAAACCCATAAACCCATGTAAGAGCAGCCAGAGCTCTTGACCATGAAACTATCTCTCCAGCACCCCCAGTCTCAGTTTTAAAATAACCCCTCAGAGGCTTAATATTAATTACAAATTATTTGGCCTATTGCTCAGACTTATTACTAACTAGCTCTTAAATTTAATTTAACCTATTTCTATACATTGCCATGTGGTCCATGTCTTATCAGTTCTCTGACACCTTGTCCCTTGGGAAGCTGGATAGCACCTGCCCAGATCCCACCCTTCTCCTATATCTCTGCTCAGTTTTCCAGCCTGGATCTAATCCACCTTGCCATAGGCCAAATCATTATGTTTAAAAGAAAAAGAAAAAAAAAAGGCAATGCCAAGTTCAGTTGTACCTGGTTGTTATTACATCTGTCACAGAGTTACCATGCCTTTGCACAGAGTCCCAAATTCTTGCTCCTAACTGGCTACAGTTTGCTTTCCTCATAATTATATTAAATTAGATAAATTAGAGTCTAACAAAACTAATTTTGCGTAATGTCCCAGTTCATTTGTGCAGAGTCTCTAAATCCCTCTACACTTTCTTTCTAGGCATCCAAGTAGCTAATTATTTACCCTCCAAAGCACTTCTGGTCATATTTTTAAACAGAGACTGATTCTTTTTGATTAATAGGGGAAACAGTGCCCACAGCTCCCTGAGATAACATGAAAAATTCCATCTATGCAAAACAGACTGCAATTCAAGCTCTGCAGATTCCCCCAGATCCTGAAATAATATGTTCTGGAGCATAGGCACATGGTCATTATACCCCAGATTTCCTCATTTAGGAAATCAATTCTCAAATGTTAGGGATATGCAAATTCAATTATTTGAATTCATTTTGAATTGCAGAATGATAATGATGTTTTGAGAATATATTGGCATGGAGCAAACTTTGCTCCTGGGTACCTTGCTACCTGCTGAACTACTCTGACATCATCCCAGGACATCCATCATGGTCCACATATGCAGGCACAGAGTGGCTTAGTCTGTTGTTGGAGGAAGCTGTGAAGTCACAAGCAGAATACCACAGAGAGAAGACAAGAGCTAGAACAAAGCTCAGTCATGTAATGTGTAAATCTGAATGTGATGGACTTCTCCATCCCTCAAATATGCAAACATAACTGAGAAATTCTCAGAGTAGGATCCACTCAAAGCAATGAGGAACATTTCCTAACATAGTACCTCCCATGATCAGTTTAAATGGTCTCAGATTGAGGTAATTTTGTGAAAAAAATACAGTTTTGGTTTCGTTGCTTACTCAAATTTTCTAGTAAGTAAGATCAAGAGCTCTGAAATAAGCTGTCTGCATTGAAGTCACTGATATGTAGTTCATGGGAGCATTCCCTGAGTGAATCATAGCTCTCTTCCAAGGCTTGGCTTCCTCATTAAACCAGAAATGAAGACATTAATACCACTGCCAAAGAGCTAAACAATGCCCAAGCCCCTGATGTACTCTGTGTTTGATGCACATTCATCATAAATATTACACTGCTATGTGGCCAGCTCACTATGAAATGGATGACGATAATATTAGGTGACTTAGAAGGTGTCCCAAACAAAGTCACATAACCTAGATCCTAAAAGCCATGTTGGAGTAGATAAGAGGTAAGCTTTCTGGGAACTATGTCTGACAGTGCAGGCAAGCTGGGAGAAACAGCATAGTTGAAGATTGCAGTGGGCAAAGCCAGATCACAGGAAGCCTCCTGTACAGGGAAACTCAGATCTTGAAGAGAGTGCAGTGATGAGGAAGGATGAGAGTGTCTGACCTGACCAAGCTGATGGAGCTAGCTGCTGGACGCCTAGGAAAGCTCTCTGACTAGGACAAACAGCAATGCTCTCCCAATTGAAGTCAGTAAAGTCAACCCTTGCCATAAAAATAAAATCAGAATCACAAATATTACTGCTGTCAAAGAAAACTCTCATGCTTAAAGTAGCATGTTGGTGCCTGCCTGTTCCCAAAGCACTCAAGTAAGCAAGGCAGCAAGATCAAGAGTTCCAGGTCATCCTGAAGTCCACAGAAAGTTCCAGGCCAGCTTGGGATACATGAAACCCTGTCTCAAGAGGCAAAAGGATTTATTGGGGTTAGAGAGAAGGCTCAGTGGTTAAGAGTACCTCTAGTTTGGTTTCCAGCATCTTTGTTGTGTGACTCACAACCAGGATATTATGAGCTTCCCTTCAGCTCCAAGGAATCCAAGGCCCTCTTTTGGCCTCAGAGGGCATCTGAACACATGCTTGCATACACACACACACACACACACACACACACACACACACACACACACACACATATATATATATATATATATATATATAATAAATCTTTTAAAATATATTTTAATTAAAATAGAATTTGATCATTTCTCTCTTCCCCTTTCTCCCCCCAACCCCGACTCACTCTCAAATTGATAATCTCTTTTTCTTTGATTATCACCGTTACATATAGAAAAAGAGATGCACGAATATATAAATACAGCCTGATGTATTTATTTCTTGTTATTTGTGTGTATATGATTTCATGGCTGGCCACTTTGAAATGGATAACCAATTAAGGACCTTATCTCTGAAAGAAGCTAATTCTCTCTCTCTCTCTCTCATTGTCATCATCATCATCATCATTAGCTGTCTGTAGTTCTTTGTCTAGGGGTGGAAACCTGTGAGATTTCTTCTGTATTAGCACATCTATTGGCATAGATAGTGTTCAGGTATTATTTAGGGAGCCATTTTTGGGAGACACAGTTTATTACCAGACTTCCTGATCCTCTGGCTCTTACTATCTTTCTAGTCCCTCTTCCTCAGTCTTAGGTGCAGAACTTGTTTTGTAGGTGTATTCACTGAGGCTAAACTTCCCATGATTCATTGATCTCTGCATTATGTCCAGTTGTGGTTTCCTGTGATGGTCCCCATTTACTATAAAGATAAACTTTTTTGATGAAGAGTTGTAGCTACACTTAATAGTGGGCATAAAAATAAGTTTTAGAATGTAGTTGAATTATGCTAGTCTAGTAAAGTGATGGTAGTAGTTTCTCTTGTAAGATCCATAATCTCACTATCCCTGAACAAGTTGACTAGGTTTCAGGTACCAGGCATGATTTCCATTGTCTTGAGTAGGCTTTAAGGCCAATTAGAGAGCTGTTGGTGCCAACATTATGTGCCACTATTGCACCCTTAAGGATATCTTGCTGTGTCTTCACCATTGTTATCCATAGTTATCACAGCTAGACAAAAAATTCATTTTTCGTAGCACATTTTGGTGCTACGAAAGCCAGTCTACAACAAGGAGGCTTTCTGGTTAGCCCAACTTACTTAATAACTCGAATCCTAATGTGTGTCCTAACAGGTACTAAATGTGCAGTAACAGAGCCTTACTTACAACCTCTGGGGGACAACCAGGGGCTGGGACTGGGAGATGGGAAGATAACTTGGTGGTTAAAGTGCTTGTTGTGCAAGTATACATATGAGTTCAGATCCCTGGAACCCACATAAGTGCCAGATGGGCCTAGCAGCCCATCTGTAATTCCAGCCTGGGAAGACAGAGTGAGGTAATCCCCAGAATAAACTGACTAGCAAGACCAGCCACATCAGAGACTTTGAGTTTTACTGAGAGGACCTGACTCCTTTTATAAGGTAGAAAAACAATCAAGGATGATTCCTAACAAGCTGAGAGAGGCTTCCACAAACACACCTATGCGTGTTTTCAAAATGCATACGTACACAACACACACAAGAAAATGGGGCACAAAAACTAATAATAATTTTTTTAAGTGAGGCTTTCCTCACTTAATGATGACCTAAATTCAATCCTGGAACCCATAGTGGAAGGAGAGAAACTAATTCCTGGAAGTTGTCCTCTGACCTCCAGATGTACACCATGGCATGCATGTACCCATAGATAAACACACACACACACACACACACACGTCATCATCATCATCATCATCATCATCATGATAAAACCAGATTAACTGAATAGTTTAGATAGTAAATACATTCATGAGACTAAGAAGTTGCAAGAAGTGTGACAGAAAAGCTGAGTGATGGTGATGAAAAGCAGAAGCCACAGACAATGAGTTGGAAAGAATGAAAATATGACATCCGAAACTGAAAGCAAATAGCTAGAAATGCCCAGGAAAATCAAACAGGAAGAAGTTCACCAGCTGCGATGTTCTTCCTTCTCTTTGACACTTACTCTAGGCTAGTCTTGGGGAGGGGGCACACACTAAAGATAATAACACATCATCTCCCCCTATTTCCTGGTTACAGAAGCTAGGGAGAGAAGTGTCCCGTATCTTGCTGTTCTCTTACCCCCTGGAATTTGGGATATCCCTCACATACTCAATCTGCAGCTGTTCACATTTGGTAAGTGTTTCCTCTGGCAATTCAGAGGTTTTTTGATTTCGAGTAAGCAAACCTAAGGAGATAAGTAGCATTCTACAACTGTCTGGAACTAGTAGCAAAGTAATGTGTGATGCTTCCTTTACCTTTTGTTTTCTTTTGCCATAAAATATGGATATAAAGCAAAATGACAAGAGTAACATATGAAACTGTAAATTTAAAAATCAAAAACAAATATATATATATATATATATATATATATATATATATATATATAGCGATGGTGATTCTTCCCTTAACGTTGTTCTTATCATATCCACACATCCTAATTAAGCACACACATACACACAAAGCTACAAAACACACATTGTATCCAAAATAAGAAGCAGAGAAAGGTGAATGATGATGCTCAGGTGGCTGGCTTGCTTCCTTTTATAGGATCCAGGATCTCAGCCCACAGAATGGTACCACCCACATTTCAGGGCAGGTCTTCCCTCAGCTAACCCTCTCTGAAAACACCTAGACTATTCTAAATTCCAGCATTGAAAATTAGGATTAACCATTGCACCCGCATTCCTCCAGCCCTTAAACTCAATTTCGAAGAACTTTACCAAACAAGAAAATTCATTTTCTCACAATTGTAGGCCAAAAGTCAAGGTCAAAGTGTTTGGGACTAGTGTCCTCTAAATCCCCTCCCCCTCTAGTTGGCTTTCAATGTGTTCACCTGGCCAACCCTTGGATGAGTCTGTGTCCTGATCTCTTCTGCATACCCCAGTCACATTGGACAACAGCCCAGCCATTGCCCCTTTAAAGACCTTATCTCCAAATATTTTCACATTCCAATATGCCAGTGGCTGGGATTCTGATGTACAAGTTTTGAGGATTGTAATTCAGAACACAATGAAATGTTTTTAGTATCACCTCTGCCTATAATGACCAGCTGAGCAATTGTGCTAGCCCTAAGGAGTCGACTAGAAAATAGCCTTAAAAGAACTAGGAATGAAAAAGCACTGAAAATGTGTAGACAGATCAGAGAGGCAAGCCCCAAAGCAAATGGACTCCACGTAGTTACTATTAACAATTCTCTAGAAAGAAAGCAGTATCCACCATTCCCAGGAAACGACAAAACTATTTAAATCAGTGCTTCTCAACCTGTGGATCTTGACCCTTGATTGCCTACAATCAAGACCATGAGAAAACACAGACATTTCCATTATGATTCATAACAGTAGCAAAATTACAATTATGAAGTAACAACAAAAATTATTTTATGGTTGGGGGTCACCACAACATGAGGAAGTGTATTAAAAGGTCACAGCATTAGTAAGGTTGAGAACCACTGAACTAAATTATCTAACATTTATCTAAAGTACCTAACAATTATTTAAGATGTCAAGTTTCAAAAAACAACAGAAAAACAGGGAACAAAAATAATTACATGTGTGGTGGCTTGGCTGAAAATGCCCCACATAGGCTCATAAGGAATGACACTATTAGGTGTAGCTTTCCTGGAGCAGAGGTGGCCTTGTTGAAGCAGGTGTGGTCTTATTAAAAGAAGTATGTCACTGAGGGTGGGCTTTGAAATTTCAGATGCACAAGCCAGGCCCAGTAGTACTCTCTTTTCCTGTTGCCTGCTGATCCATATATAGAACTCTTTGCTCTTTCTCCAGCACCATGTCTGCCTGTGATGATAATAAACTAAACCAAGTCAGCACCAATTGAATGTTTTCCTTTATAAGGGGTGTCATAGCCATGGTGTTCCTTCATAACAGTAGAAACCCTAAGACAACACATAACTTGGAAAGAACATTCAGGACCTGTACTCTTGGTGGAAGCTGAGAACAAAGGTGAAGAAAGGAAAGACTTCAAAAGCTGAAGGACAGATATATAATAGGTGACAGCAATGATTCATGAAATAAGATGATCAGACAAAAACAGAATTTATAAAAGAGGAAGTTGAATCCTGGGATTTAAGTGTAAGCATGCTATATCAGAAATATAGATAAATACACTTGTATCTGTCCACAATGTAAGAATTTATTGGATAACAATAAATTCACAAGGAATGGTGATTTCATTAACAACACTGACTGCTTTTCCAGACGTCCCAGGTTCAATTGCTAGCACCCACATGGCAGCTCACAACTGTCTGTAACACCGGTTCCAGGGATCTAATGCCCTCTTCTGGTCTCCTCAGGCACCAGGCATGCAAGTGGTAAACAAACACACACATTAAAAAAAATCAGAAAGTATGTCAAAAGTTATGATTTAGCAACATTAAAAGAAGGTAGATTGGATTGAGAATGAGACAGAAAGAGAACAGATGGCACTCTGGATTGTATTCTATAAGTACCAGTGTGGCCTGTGTTCTCTACTGCTATTTTAATTCTCTGTTACTCACATGATTTGAAACACTGGATGTCATCTGTAAGTGGCTGCTTTTTCTTTTCCAGGGAAGAAGACAAGAGGAAAGTTTAGAAAGTGTCTCTGAAGTCATGAACAGCAGATTCTGAAAGCTGGAGACATGAACAACTTCCCCGGCTGCTGACCCCTGATGTATGTGCCAATGATATTTCTACATAACAAGGCTGCTGCACAACACATGCATTTTGTGCAAGAGGAAACTCACAAAAGGTTAAAAGTTATCCCCTTGATATTTAAGGAATGTCTACACACATATTTTCTAGGTCCCAGAGGGGAAAGCTTTTCCTATGTATCGCAAGAGATTATCACAAGGAAGATCTGCTAGCTAGCCAATATGGAAAGCTATCAACCCTCCACCGCAGATCATCTGCAGTAGACCACAGAACCTGCTTGTAACCTATAGAGTACAGGCTAGGAAATTTGAATCGCAATCTGTAAATCAGAGGAAAACTGATTTCTGTCCCTGTGAGTGAAAAGCACATTGCACCACACCCTGCATTCTTCTCAAGCTAGCTTCTACCTCCACAAAGCAAGGATCGAAAGGTCACCGGTTTGGTGCCTTTACTGTCACATGGCTTTTCCTGTCCTCATTAAAGTTCCTTTCTGCCCTGTATGTCTCTGCTGCCTTTTTTCCCCTCTCGTTCCCCTGTTTCTTTCTTCTCATTATTTGAGTCGATGTTAATATCGATGTTAATACATTGCAAAGCAAACTGCTTTTCCATGTTGAGGAACATTTCCCAGAAAGCTACTCTGCATGCAGTTTGCCTGCTCTTCTAATGTGAAAGTGGCATCAGAGAAGTTTCCTCAGCAATGCAAGCAATGCTAAGGAACACTGGTGTTTTTACCAGAAAACACTGGTGTTTACCAGAAAACAATGGATTGTTTGTTTTCTCCTATCATTCAAGGCATTACACTGGTTGTTCTTCATGGCTGTCAATTAAGGTTACTTGATTCTACAATTTCAGTGCTTAGCTCATTTCTGGATATCTACTGTGCCCAAAGGAAGTATTAAACCCTGGGATGTAAGAGACTGATGAGGCATCTCATGGCAGTTATTATTATTATTATTATTATTATTATTATTATTATTATTATTATTATTTCTTATTTTACATATTGATCCCAGGTCCCTCTCCCTCCCTCCCATGCCCCTGACCCGCTCCCATCCCATTCCCTTCCCCCACTCCACAGGGAGGGTGATGACTTCCAGGGGGAATCAACAAAATCTGTCAAGTCATTTGGAGTAGAGACTAAGGCCTCTAGGTTAAGGGAGTATCCCTCCTTGGAGAATAAGTTCCCTAAGTACTTTCATGCATCAGGGATACATCCTGGTTCCACTGTCAGAGATCACTTAGACTGCCCAGGCCTTCTAACTGAGACCCATGTTCAGGGGGTCTGAGTAGGTCCAATGCTGGTTTCCCAGCTATCAGTCTGGAGTTTCATTAGCTCCCCCTTGTGGATTTCTGTAGCCTGGTCTTGCCCCCATTTTCTTATCACTTCTCCCCCTGGCAGTTAACAAGCAATTAAGAAATTGCTACTTCATGTATTAGAGTCATACGAAAAATGGAGCATGACAGAATAGAGAATGCTCTTTCTGGTGTAAAGATGATAATATTTTATGAAAACTCCAAACAGGAGATTATTATCTGGGGGGGGCTTGAAAGGTGGGGAGGACATTTCAAATTAAAGAATTAGGGTGGCTATTCCTCTACAGACAAGTGTTACAAGCGGGTTTTCCCACCAGCCTGGTCCCAGAGCCGTGCCAGCCCCAAATAACACACAGAGATGCTGTATTAGATATAAAGCTGTTGGCCAGTTACTAGTGTTTCTTATCAGCTAGCTCTATCTTAAATATTAACCCATTTCTATTAATCTAAGTATTTTCACGTGGTCTCATCTTACCGGACAGAGGCTCCAGAGTTGTTCTCCCTCGAGTCTCTACATGTTGAATCTCCTCCCTACTACTTCCCGAATCTTCCTTGTCTCCTAGTCCCACCTATCTTCCTTTCCTATTGGCCAACAGTGCTTTATTCATTAACCAATATGAGAGATATATTTACAGAATGACATCTTCCATCAGACAAGGAAGAGGAAGGAGAGGAAAGGGGGATAGGAAGAGAAGATAGAAAAGAAGAAGCAAGAGGAGAAAGAAGGTGAATAGAAGGAAGGAAAGGAAGACAGAAGATAAAAGAGGAGAAAGAATTGAAAAAAGAAGAGGAGAAGGAAGACGAGGAAGAAAAGAGAATGAAGGTTGAGAATATCATACATGACAACAATACATCTTTATCACATTACCTCCTTGCTCACTCCTCCAGGGTTCTCTCCCTTACATTCTTCTCTCAAATTCATATCCTCTATTTTTAAAAAGTTATAACCCACTGAGTTCATTTAGTGTTACCTGGATGTACATAGGTGTGGGGCTGACCATTAGAGCATAAGCAACCTACTAGTGGCCCCATCCCTGAATAAAAGTGTCTCTCTCTCCCCAAACAGATGTGGCTACCTGTATCTTCTCAAGTAGGAGTAGAGCCCTGTGAACCTTTCAGCCATTCATTCTGAAATGTTGGAAGGTTTGGTCTTGTGAGTCTTATGCAGGTTAACACAGATGTTGAGAGGTCATGGTTACAACATTGCTTTCATGCCTAAAAGTCACTGTTTTGCAGCAATCCTCCTGATCCTGTGTGGACAAGGGAAAGCCCAGAAGGCCTCAACCCTACACAAAGAACTACAGGCAACCAAGGAATGCTGACAGTGGAGAAAGTCCTCCCCAGGGCAGAGTGCACCAACTGGTCATCCGATATCAAATGGTTAGCCCTGAGAACATACATACAAGTAACAGTGCACACACTGAGCAGGTTATGTTTAGGAACATAGTGTGTGTGTATGTGTGTGTGTGTGTGTGTGTGTGTGCATAAATTAATTAAACAATTAATTTAAAAAGAGGCCATGACAGATTTTGTTGGCTCCTCAAGGAAGGCCATATCCCATATAAGGAATGGATGGGAGAGGAGGGAAGAGGAAGGTATGGGGGCAGGAGAAGGGGAAGAAAAGGGAACTGGGGTTGGTATGTAAAAATGAAAAAATAATTTTTAAATAAAATCTAAAAAGAGGCCATGAATTTTAAAGAGAACAGGAAAGTTTTAAGAAAGGCAATAGGGAAATGGTGTAATTGTATTATAATCTCAAAAATAAAAGGAACAATTTTTTAAAATAAAATTAAAAAATTGAGGCCAAACAAACAAAACATTAGAAAGGTTAGAAAACCTGAAAGAAACTGGTTTTCAGGATCATGGAAGACAGAGAATAGCCTTATCTATGGGTAATATTAAAAATCCAATATGTATGTATGTATGTATGTATGTATGTATATGTATATATGTGTGTGTGTGTGTTCCTAGTAGTCACACAAAGAAAGTAAATAGAAAAATATATGTGCTTAATTTTGTTAACTTAATAAATCAAAAATATCTAAATGATGCAAGTAAAAATCAACAGTGACATACTTTACAGTTGTTTAATCATATGGAGTCTTCAGAATTGTGTGCACATTTTGTAACTCAGCCATATGTCAGTCCAACCCAACTACATGACAGATACTCCATAGCTACATAGAGCTACTTGTTTGTTAAGTTGTGTGGGTCTAGAAGCTTCCATAGAAATCACAAAGCCTGTATCCTCCATTCTCATACCCAAGAGCTCCTGGTTCCAGAAAGTGATGCTTTCTTTTGCAAAGGAGTTCCTCCAGAAACAAACTCAGTGAAGGGCCAAAAAGATGAAGTGTCCCATGAGAAAGCTGAGGCTGTACAAAGGTCTGTGCATAACAAAAAGGTATATTCCAGAAACCACAGTTGAAGATGTTGCTGTTCCTTTGCTATCTCAATTGGCTTTGGGTTTCCATCTCCTCACAGTCAGCTGCATCATCGCACACTCATTACTAATTTCATCTTAAAACAATTCCCTTTCTCTACTCTGCAGTGATACATTATTTATGATTTATTAAAGGTTGCCTGAGGATTCAGAATGCAAAGCTGCCTCAAGCTATAGAGACCATGCAGTGGTGGTACACACCTTTAGTCCCAGGATTCAGGAGAAAGGCAGATAAATCTCTTGAGTCCAAGACCATCCTGGGCTACTGGAGAGTGAGTGAATCAGAGCTCAAGTCTTTAATCTTGAGATTTGAGAGGAATAAAAGGTAGAGGCATTCAGTATGACAGTGAGTCTCTAGCCACATTGAGAGCATAGCAGTTTGAGTGTATCTGAGGAACAGTGAAGTTGGGAGCAGTTTGAGGATCACCCTTCTACCTGAGGTAGAGGTAAGAGCTAGTGGCTGGCTGCTTTATTTTTCTCATCTTCAGCTTGAAGCTTGAACCCCAATATCTTTCTGAGTCTTTTATTTATTGTGCTACACTACTCCCTCTGCACACAATTACCTTTCTTTCCTTAAAATCAGAGCTCCAGAAGTCAGGATTCTAGGTCAAGTCTGGCCTCCATCTCTCTGAGGCCACTTTTTTCAATGACAGCCGTTGCCTCTATATCGAAGAATCCAACAAACAAATGTACAATCCTCAGAAGATTTAGACATCATTTTACATCTTTCCTAGAGTTCAGGCATCTGCAGAGTCCTCTTTCTGTCTTCTCCTTACCTCCTAAGCTAGGTTCTATTTGTCTGACCTCCTAACATTAAAATGAATCATCTCCCACTTGGGCCATGGTGGCACAAACCTTTAATCCCAGCACTCGGGAGGCAAAGGTGGGCAGATCTCTGTGAATTTGAGGCCAGCCTAGTTTACAAAGCTACACAGAGAAACCCTGTCTCAAAAAATCAAAACAGGGGAGGGGGATCATGTCTCATCCCAGAAGGTAAACTCCAACGGGAAGGGATCTGTATTTTCTTCACTTCTTACTCCCAGTATATATATATGTATCCTCAAAAGGACTTTGTCCCATTGATTATATAATACACAAAATACCTGATACTGGAAGCCTCAACAAATTGCCTGTGAGAAACATTCCTTTAGTTAGCAGGGAAGCAAATCACCTTGGCTTTTGAGACTCAACATAATCTGAATAAGTTGGAATGAAGGACCTTTCATTTACTTATTCACTTATACTGGGTGTCAGATATAGCATCCTTACACTAAACGTTCAGTGGGTGAGGATCCATATCATAAATGACACTTGGGTCATAAACATGAGTGCCAAGTTAGGATTCTCTAATACACATTATTTAGGACTAGATTACAGCAATAGCTTTTTTTCATAGTTTATTTTTTGTTTGGTTGATAGTTTCACGTTTCTATAATGGATTTTAGTCATCTTTACCCGCCCACCCCCAGTTCCTTGCATCTTCCTCTAGATCCCTTCTCAACGACTTCCCCTCCAGCCTCCATTTCTCTGGGGATGGGGGGAGTTGCCCATTGAGTTTAGTTAGGGTTTCTTGTCCCAGGGTGGATGACAGATTTGTGCAATCTAGTTTCCTTCTAGAGTCTAGAATCCAGCCTTTGAGGAGACTCAATACAGAAAGACTTGCTTCTATCTGTCTGCTGGAAAAGGGCGGGAAAGCATTTGTTCGGCAGGGAAGGACAGAGCAGAGAATCAGCCTGTAGTTGGGCTCAGGCTTTCTGCAGTTTAAAGGCTAGAGTGTGCTCACCATGGGGAACACACTAGACCCCCCCCTCCCCTGTACCCATCCCCTAACCCCAGCTATATCTGTGGGCCTTGAAGGCTGGGTGGAACCTTCACGGGGCCGGCACAGCTAGTGTCTGCGTGGCCCTCCTCGCGTGGAGCCTTCTGCGGTTGCTCTGGGACACAACCCCAACAGCCAGAAACAGCATTGGATCCACAAGAGGTAATGAGGGACACATGGAGATGGCAGCGCAAAGCCACTGAGGCAGGTGCTGCCTGCAGGAATCCCAGAGAAGGAAGATCTAGACCTAGAGGAAACCCCTGAAGGATTGCCCCCTTCTACCCTTAGGATCATGACAGCGTAGGGGATCCATTACTTTTGAACAAACCACACTAATGACTGGCGTTGAACACTGCTTACTGGTGAGTTTCAATTATGTACTAGCTTCTTTTTCCTCCCCAATACAACCCTACAGGGGATTCTTGTCACTGAGAAGAGCCTTTGATGGAGTTTATTATATTTTTTTAAAAGTCACCTCATAACGGGTAAGTTTTTAACTCAAGCATCTTCTAAAATTCTTTTCGCTATGTCTTTGTGTATTTTCTCCTTATAAAATGGCAATAGCACATTACTATGGTAACTGAAACCAAAGTTTGTGGCTTATTTGAGAAGGAAAATTTTGTAAATGAAAAATCTAAAGACAACATGCTGAATTTTAGATATGACTATACACAGTGGTAGAAGGAAAAGGGGAAAGGTTGGTCGGACATTAGAGACTGGGGTGGGTGTGGGGGCTTAGGGGGTAGGGATAGAGAGGAGGATTGTAAAAGCCATGTCTAACTAAAAAGCCACTCAAAAATTTATTGACCTTTTGGCTGGAAAAAAAAACAAATTATCTCTTATTTCTTTAGCAATATTAAAACATGAATATTTATATAATATATAGGCAGGTAAACTTCCAAAATAATTCAACAGGTTGAAGATGGCCTTTTTCCATCTCTGATTTTCTCTGGATGCCCATCTTCCCACACCCAAAGTTTTGTTCACTCCAGTTCTGTCCTTTAGAATGGGTGAAACCTAATAACACCATGACTTCTAGCTTTTGCATCTTCTCAATCAAACCCTGCCAGGTCATCAGGGAAAGAGTTTTTCCTGAGCCACTAAGTGGCTCAGATATTGAGCAGGAGAGATGATATTGAGCAGGAGAGATGGGTTAGCGGTTAAGAGCACTGGCTGCTGTTCCAGAGGTCCTGAGTTCAATTCCCAGCAACCACAGGGTGGCTCACAACTATCTATAATAGGATTTGATGTCCTCTTCTGGCCTGCAGTGTACATGCAGAGCTCTCATACATAAAATATAAATAAATAAGTGGCTCAAATATCTACCTTTATTCAGACCAGCTAGAATCAAAGAACAATTTTCTTTTTTTTTTTTCCAGCCAAAATTAATTTCAGGCCTTTATTGGCCTGAAAGTAAGACCACGGATAATCAATACACATGGCATTTAATCACTGAAAAAGCAATTTACATACATTACCTTACATAATCTATACAATTGTATTAGAAGCCTGGAGTCATCGCCTCAAAGAAACTGAGGGAGGGCTGTGACCATTGCCCTCCCTGTCAATGCTGAAAATGATGAGCTGTCCTTGTCTTGCATACTGAGCACCCCTGCCCCCCACCCCTGTCATCTTGTTCACTAACTTAAGAAACCTGCCTATAGTATTCTAGATCTTCTCTGCACTAGTGTGACACAGATCCTTCCAGTCAGGCACCCCTGGGACATACTTGAACTTAGATGGCACCAATGATGGGTAATAGTCTAAACCAAAGCTATCGAGAGTTTAAACTTCCTGATGCTGCACTGTGGGCATATGAGTGGGTGATAGAGGGACTGATGTGATTGGAACAGCTATCATTTAGTACGTACCAAACTTAACTCAAGTTTGATAAATGAACAATCTTGCTGAGAGATAAAAATTAGATTCGTCAAGATACTACTAGTCTTGTACAAAAGCATCTGTCAAGTATCTTTCCCAAAAGAATCTGTCAAAAGCATCTGTCAAGTATCTTACCCAAAAGAAGAATAATGGTCATTAACTGATTTAATTTATATTGATTTTGTCCACATTTTTCATAGGAAATACCCTCATATCCCTCTGATGAACATGCCACAGAATCGTCTGTGGGTAAAAAAGGAACTGAGGTTGTTGGGGGTAAGAACAAAATGCTGCTCGAGTGAGTAAGTCAACTGTGAGAGGGTTGCCAGTCCTTAACACGTGAGATCGGAGACGTGAACCACTTCTGTATCTACTATGAACTCTTCAAATGGAGGCAAATCAAGCACAATGGCTTCCGGTGGTGACATGGCATCAAAGCATATACTGAGTCTGGGCATGGAGAAAAAAAAGTTCTTTTTTTTTTTTTTTTTTTTTTTTTTTTTTAGCCATCTATTAATTATTTCAATCCTAAGCTGATGGCATGTTCTAAGTGACATGAGCAAATTGTCAGTATACCCTGAAGAAGCTTCAGACTACAAACTCTATGAACAGTGGCTGGTTAGAAAAGTGCTATGCTGTTCACATCATCTCACATACACTACTACTACTATTTGCCCAGGCAATCCCATCCACTACACACTTTGGCTGTGCAATTTTGTATTGTCCACTCATACTGCTGGATGAAAGAGCCAGGTTAAAAGTTACACAGAGTATTAAAAATTAAGTGATAAAATGAGAAAATCCTAAACACACACACACACACACACACACACACGGGCACGGGGGATCTGGAAATACATATATTGAAGAAACCATATAAACACTTGTATTTTGAAAATGACTAAATACTAATGAAAAATTCAAATTAGGCTATATCAATATAAAGGCACATTTATGGATTGCAAAGTTCAACATAGTAAAAAATGTTAGTTCTCCTTAAATTGGCACATGGGTTTGGCATAATTCCTTTTAAAATCCCAGCAAGTCCTGTAGATAGCTATAAATTGCCAAAGATGATGTGGTAAGGAGAAGGCAAAGTAGAAGAAATCACACTAGTTGATTTTTAATATATTGTCTGCATACAGTCAAGATTATGCAATTTTTTAAAATAAGAACAAAACACACAGACCAAAACTATGATCTAAAGATACAGCCAACTGACCTGGAGAATAGAAATTGTTTGTGTTTGGGGGAAGGAGTCTATGTAACACCAGGGGAGAGAGTACTCAAAGTACTAATCCTGCTTCCTCAGTCCACCAAGGGCCCTTGCGTGTGTGAACCATCAGTCAATTGTTTGTTTGTTTTCATAAAAGAACTCAATGGGCAGTTTTACAGAAGAATTAAAAATAGAGATCAAGTGCCTTAACAGACTCCCAGCCTTTTGAGAAATTTGGTGAATATTTAAAGCCTATGAGAAACAGATGGTGATCACCAGGGGTTATGAGTGTTAGTAGGAAAGCTACAAGAAAAGGTGGAACTTGAGATATCTCTGTAGTGACGGAATAGGTCTGTGACTTGATTATGGTTGATAAAGCCTGACACAAATGGCCTAGAACAATACACAGGACATCATAACACAGCTGACATCCTCATTCTAATGTTCTGTAAGCTGTCACTCTCATGGTAGAGCACCACATTCTTCATTCTGGCATCTATCTTGAGGTGTGTTCCTTTTTAGAAGTTAGCTGGAACTGTGACTAAGAAGGGCTCACCCTCCTTGAGGAGCAGATAGGGGATGGGCTGGGGTTTGGTTGGGGTTATGGGGGAGGGTGGGAGGGTGAGGGAACTGGAATTGATGGAGCCCTCATCTAGTACCCATTGGAAACAGAAGCAAACACCCATAACTAAACACTGAGTCCAACTAGAATCCAGATGCAGAGAGAGAGAGGACATGACCAGGTTGCAGAAACACATAGTGACAGCTGACCTGAACAAGGAGGAGCTAACAGGCCCCCAGAGTGATAACTTGGAATCAAGCATGGGACTGACTCAGGTCTGAGCAGTGGAACCAGGATATATTCCTGGTACACAAAAGGACCTTGTGGACACATCCCCCATGGAGGGACCCTCCCTTAACCTAGAGACAGGAGAGAAGTCCTAGTCCCTACTTCAAATGACTTGACAGATTTACATGACCCCACCTGGATGGCATAGCCCTACATATGGAATGGGGGGTGAAGGGATGGGAGGGGAGGGTGGTCAGGGTGCATGTGAGGGTAAGAGGGAGGGAGGGAGAGGGAAGTGGGATTGACATTTAAGATAAAAAAAAATAATAAAGTAAAATGTGAAAAAAGATATAATATAATTCCATAGAACTTTATAAAATTCTAAAACTAAAAAAAATAAAAAATATTAAATACTTTACATTCTATGGATTTTGGTTTATTGATACAAATTCAAATTTTGTTATATGTATGTACGTTTCTATTCTTGTTTGGGGTATTGTGCTTATGCAGCTCATTTGAAAATAAACATATAATTAAGAAATAAAAAAACAACCTTGTTTCAAATTTAAATTTAGAAAGGAGGTAAACAATCTATTCTATATCAGGAAAAAGAAAGAATGCTGTCCTTTTCTTTCAGTCTATACAACTGATGACGAGCCTAATCATACAGAGCCTGGGATACTTCTGGACATACCTGTATTTTTCTCAAAGTCTTGTATTTGGAATAGGAAGTGAGTATTTTCCAGTCATTGGAACTTCAGGATACTCACTTTGGTCCTCTTTGCTTGTGAGTAACATCATCTCTGATAATAACTACTAATATATTCCTTACATTTCATGGATTCTGACCCGAGCAATGTGTCCTAGAGGATACACAATTCCTGTTCCCTAAGAAACCATCCCCCACATCTGAAAGAAAGACAATAACAATATGTTTTTTAAATCTTTAGTTTATTGCCTAAAATATTCTTTCATAATAATAGTCTACATTGTTAAAGAAACATTTGGTTTCTTTAACCTAGTTTCTTAGCTGCATTATTACTTCATAATGAGAGTCTGCATGGTTAAAGGGCCATTTGATGCATTACCAAAAAAAATCCCTAGTTTCTTACCCATAATATTCTTTTTCATAATGAGTCTACATTGTCTAACAGCTATTTGGTACATTTGCAGCCATGATAATAAATACAAGAACCATACATGGAAGACAAAATCTGTTTGATTCAAATCAGCTATGCAAGTGAGATGCTAAAGTCATTTCAAGATGCCCCTGAATCCCATTCCTATTACAATTGTGGCATTAATTCATAGAACCTTCATAGCTTTCACCTTTATAAATACAAATCTTGAACTGTTTCATGAGTTGTTTTCTTAGTAGTCCCCACTAAGGAACTAAGATGATATCCCTTGTGTTACAGAATTCTAGACTTATCTTGAAGCTCACATATAGATATAATGACTGGGTATTAACAAATGTGGTCTTTGCTTTCAGTTTAGCCTATCAGGAAGCTTTTCAATAGCATTACAGAGGAGGCCTTCAAATCACATGGTAAGTCAGAGGATTCTGAGTAGCTCTGGAAAGCTTTTGTTGTCAGTGAAAGTATGAAATTTTCAAAGACTAATTAAAAATTTCAAAAATAAAAACAGTGAGGAATCAGCATGGCCTTTGAGTGAATAGATATCTACCCAGAAGCCATGGGAGGGGGCAGTATTTAAAGTATGAGAAAAATAACATCCATCCAAAGAAAGACAGAGTGGTTATGTCATCTCAATTAAAGTACATAACTAGAACTATTGCTATACATGACTATTCAAACAAGTTTCATGGTGATAAAGGCTGCTATTTCCTAAGACTTAACAAACCTAATCTCCAAACTCTAAGAAGTGAGGGCCAGGGTTATGTGCAAGCAAAAAGACCTGAGTTCAGATTCCCAGAATCCACATCAATGCTGGGCAGCTAACGTACATCTGTAATTTCAGTGATTCACAATAAGATGGAAATCAGAAACAATAGAATCCCCAGAAGCTCCCATGCTGCAATTACAAACAAATAAACAAACAAAAAAGAAAAAAGAGAGACTCTGGCTCAAAGTAGACACCTGAAGTTTTCCTCTAACCTCTGTATTTGCACAAGGCCAAATGTTCATCTCCCCCAGAGATACACACACATACATATGTGCACACACACCATATGTGTATGTGCGCAAAAGCTGACAGAATTGCAAGGGAGATTATTTATGATGACTAGAATTTACCCTTATGATGAAAATATTTAAAGAGTGAAATATAATATATATACATAATTTTAGAGATGTATTTTCTATTATTTGGACAAAACTCTCACAAAAATCTAGGAAGGGAACTTCCTCAGCTTGGTAATGTAACATGCAAAAAGAAACCTATTTTCCTACATAGCACTATGAGACTGAATGTTTACCTCTAAAGTCAGTGTGTTGGTTAGACTTTATTTTCAGTTTAACACAGCCTGGAGTTGCCTGGGAATATGAAACCTCAGTTGAAGAGTTCCATCAGGGTAACCCTTGGCCATGTCGGTGATCCACTTTTTTATTGTTAATTTATGTAAGAGCACAGCCTACTGTGGGTGATGCTGTATAAGAAAGCTAGGTAAGCAAGCCAGAGGGAGCAATCCAATTAGCAGTGTTCCTCCATGGTTCTCGCCTCAATGTTTCTACTTTGAGTTCCAGTCTCGGCTTCCCCCTGTGACAGACTGTGAGATGATATAAACCCCTTTCCCCCCAAAATTGCTTTTGATCATGATGTTTATCACAGCAACAGAAAGCAAACTAAAATAGTAACCATGTATATGTATATGTCGCTATATGTTATATAGTGTGATAATTCAAGGAAAAACAAGACATAAAAACCTTCAAGATTAGAAAGTCAGGATATGTGCTTCACCTGCAGACACCAGAAACATGCTAAAACATCCTACAACATCCAAGAATCCCTAAAATATATAAATATACAGAATAAATAAGTGTTGCAGAATATAAGTTGCCTATAGGGGAAAAATCAATTGGATGTCTGTGTAATTTGTTCATATACTTAACCTGTTAAGGGAATCACATTGTTCCCAGGACTGAACCCTTTTAAATGAAGCTACTATGAACACTTCCACAAGTCTTGTTACAGACATATTTCTTGTTCCTTTCATAATGGATATTTTTCATCTTTAAAAGAAACTACCAAACTGTTTCCCAAACTATTTGTTGCCTATTGCATTTCTGAACCACACCTCTACAGACTAGAAGCCAAACAAGTGTTCTTGTTTTTTGTATTCAGATAACTTTGGCTGGAAAACACTCTACGTGTAAAAATTCCTTCTCCAAGGGACCTTAAAATACAGTTGCTTATTAAACCTCTTTTTCTAATAAAAAATGATGGTTCTGGAACAGTCACTTTTCTGTGTAACTAAAACTTAAGTACAGTAAGGAATGAAATACATTAAAATACAAATAAATAACCAAACAATAATGTTGGACTTTTAGGGTATAAAAGTAAACTAATGAATGTTTTAATTTGTTGTATTTCCTTTTGTCTAGTGATATATTTGTTATACTTTGAAACTTTCAAATATGCATACAGCATATTTTAATCATATATCCCCTCATCACTACCTGCCTCTGACTCCTCCTGGGACACCCATCTCCCTCCCAAATTTCATGAATTAATATCATTATCATCATCATCAACATCAACATCATCATCCACCCTGAATCCAATTAGTACTGACCATGTGTACATGGATCTGAAGTCATTAACTAAGATGTGGGCAATCTGCCAGAATTCAGCCCTAAAAAAAAAATGACTCTCAGTCCCTGTAGAGTCACCAACCAACTGCCATTAGTTTCTCAGCATAGGAGCCCTTCTCCAAATTTTAGAATTATAACTGCTTTTTCTTGTGTAGTTCCTATATAGGCAACCACAGCTGCTCTAAGTTGGTAAATGTAATATTCATGTCATGTCTAGAAAACATCATTTCTCTTCTCTCCTTATCCTCTACTTCTTATGTTCCTTCTGTTCCCTTTTCTAACATGTCCCCTCAGTGCCCTTGGTAGGAAGAGGTTGATAGAGGTAACTTATCTATGGCTGAGCACTCACAGTCATTTGTTTCAACAGCTTTACCAGTTATGAATGTCTGCATTAATCATTACTCACTACAAAAAGCTTCTATGAACAAGGGTGAAATGAGCACTAATCTGTTGGTATAAACATGAACATTTAAAAAGCAGCTTGACAACCTAACCATGTAACTAAAGAAACAAAATTAGTAGGATCCCTACCATGGCCTATGATATCCCCAGCCATAGGCTTTTGATGAGTTTTAACATACTAGACATGGAATCCATCCTGTGGAACAGGCCTCAAAGCCAATCAGAAAGCAGTTAGCTACTCCCATAATAGCCATGGCATTATTTCTCTAGTAACCATAATGTACCTGGCATGTTGGTACTATAGAATGCAGTGTTCAGGGCTGAATAAGACCATTGATATCTATGCTCCATTAATGCACAGTGCAAAACACCATTCAGCATATGAAAGCTACTCTGTAGGGAAAGAGTTTCCTATGAAGCTTGAGATAGAATTCTTCAAAGCCTTTATTGGTTTTATTTCTGTAAGAGTACAGAATAAATAAATCAATTAACTGATATCATTGAACAACATATAACAGTTTACATGAAGAAGCTTTGTTCTTTGAGATTGTTCTTTCAGAATACAATGATTCAAATTGTCATACTTGCTATCTGGATTTATTAACTGGAAAGGAATTATTGTGGATATGGAAAAGAAAATAAGTATAAAAATGATTCTTTTTAATACAAATATTAAATGATATATCACCTCCCTAGCATCATGTGTGGATAAAGCACAATTATTCAGCAATGTTATAAAGCATGACCGTCTGAAGTGTGTAGCCTGCCAATTATACATGCATGTAGCCTGGGGAATGACCTCCAACAGTGTGTAACTCCCTACATAATCAAGAAAAACTCTTCATATTGAGCTAGATAGTACCTGTATGCCCAAGAAAATTTGCTAAATTTTACTTTCCTGCAGTCCAAGAACTGTAGCAATCTCCTCAAATATTAGGTCTCTGGTAATATAAAAGTATGTGGTATTATGAATTTGTCAATATCATGGGAATATTTTATATTCCAGTTACATTTAGTATGTACTTGATTTTCTTCTACAGTCTTAAAAATATCTAATGCACAGCCCAGTTTTTTTTTCTGTCTCTTTATTAATTCAACATAGAATGGGCATTCAATCATTTACCAGAAGAGAAGTAAATACACGCACATACTATCAAAAGTTTTATCAAGAGTAGAGAAATAAATACATATACATCATATTAAAATTTTATTATCAATTGTTTGATCCTGCTAGGAGCCTGCCTAACCAATCAGTAGTTCTGACAACGTTTTTGGTGATCTCACTGTTCCAGAAAGATTAGAGTTTTATAGTTCTTCTATAAGAATAAACTTGCCAGAGATGAATGTTGAATAATTTCCAGTGAATGAATATTTTTTAATCTATTCTAGATGATCTGGACTTTTACAATGAACATCTTAAGCATCATGGCAACACTAATAGGTGTATTCTTAATATCATTCGAACTGCAAATGACTTCGAAGTTAAAATCTCCTTTGTGGCAATATGTAAGTACTGGGTTTCTGACAGAGTTTTTTCATGGTTTTAGAATTATGCCTTTAGTGAGGATCAAAATATTCAAGTATTAGTTAAGTCACTAAAGAGTCCTCTTATCAGTTTTCTCTCAGGTATATGTGCCTACTATTAGCATGATACAAACTACATGTTACAGTTCAAACCCTAGATGAACAAATAAAGTTTTATAAATATTAATACAGATATTTTATTGATGAAGCATTATAGTCAATCCTGATTCCTCCTGGTTGCTATGACACATTATTTATTGGCAGCTCATTCTTCCTAGTTACCCACATCTCTAAGACCAGTTTTCCTAAGACTTTGAAAGAGCAAATTTGCTAGAATAAGACTTTCCTCTTCTAAGAATGAAATGTCCTTATGGACATATATTAACCATATACCCATGGTCAATGAAAGTGTTGTAGTCAAGAGCCTTCATCCAGGAACTGATGGAAACAGATTCAGAGACCCACAGCCAAACATTACACTGAGTTTGGGGAATCTCACTGAACAGAGGGAGGAGGGATCATAGGATCCAGTGGAGTCAAGGACATCACAAGAAAACTCACAGAAACAATTAACCTGGCTCATGGGAATTCACAAAATATGAACCAACAACCAGAGAGCCTGCATGTGACTGATCTAGGACCTCTACATATATGTAAAGTTGTGTAGCTTGGTCTATTTGTGGTATTCCCCTAACATTGGGAACAGAGGCTGTCCCTAATGATTTGGCTGGCTCTTAGAAACCTATTTCTTATACTGGATTGCCCTGCCCAGCCTAAATACAAGGGGAGATGATTAACCTAACCACAACTTGATATTCCATGGGAGGCCTACCACTTTCTGACCAGAAACAAAGGAGGAGTGGACTGGGAGGAGGGCAGTTGGGGGAGGGAATAGAAGAATATGAAGGAGGTGAAACATGGTCAGGTTGTAAAAATTAATTAAATTAAAAATTTAGAAAGTGCTATAGTCTACAGAGTGAAGCTTATCTCTACAATATATGTAATTTGAAAGGCTCGTATACTCAGTCCCATGTGCACAATGTCATGTTGTCAATTTTGTGATTCTGCATCTCTCTGTTAGAGTGTCTATGCAGAACTATTTAAAGCTATTTGTGTTTGTGTATCTGTGGTCCTGTGTAGATGGGACTATGAACTTAGTCACTTAGGTTTGTTGGTATGAAGAGAAAGGATGATGAAGACAGAGAAGGAAGAGATGCTTGGCAAATGGTGTTGAATTCTATGTCCAGGTTTGTCCATGGACTACTTCTAGTATGTGTCCAGGGCTTTACAGAAGATAAAACAGCTAAGCTTTAAACCAATACCTAGAAACCACATTTTTAAAATTGATATTATTAGATATTGCTTGTATCTAACTTTCTCACCTAATTAAGAAACTTCAACATGCAAGAGTTATGGGTAATAGACTAGTTCTGAAGTATATATAGGTTTGTAATTCATTGTTACTTTTTTCTTATTTCTATGTATCTTCTAACAAAACTTTACAATAAATAAATACAAATATAGAAAGAAGCCTATGTATCTCTGATTCTGTAATTTTTAGCATTAAAATGTAAGAAGTTTATAAACTGTTCTAGTTTGCTTTCTGTTGTTGTAATAAATCAATGACCAAAATCAACTTATGAGAGCAAAAAGTTTATTTCAACCTACACTTTCAGGTCATAGTCCTGTGAAGTAAGAGAAGTCAGGGGAGGAACTCAAGCAGGAACTGATTCAGAAACTGTGTTGGAGCACTGCTTACTGGCTCACTCTCAGACTCTCTGTCTTGCTCCATGCTAACTTTCCTACACAACGTACACTCACCTGCCTAGGGATGGTGACATCCATCCTGCCACACCAATCATCAAGCAAAATAGTTCCTCGTAGACATGGCCAGAGGCCAGTCTGAGTGAGACAACACTTAATTCTTAGTTGAGGGTCTCCCTTACCTGGCGGTTGTGTCTAGTTGACAATAAAAGTTTGCAAGCAAAGAAACCTTCCTTCCTTTGATATTTCATGAAATTAATTTGAGTTGTATTGATGTTAACTCTTCTTTGATGTCCTGGTAGATTTTTGTGGTTAATACATGGATGTTTCTTAGAAGACATTTTATTACCTCTTCAATCTTGTTTCTGGTTATGGAGATGTTTCAACTATTTCTTTTACTTTAGTTTAATTTTCACATGTTGAATGCATCTAGACATTCTTCCATTTTCTTTAGGTATTCCAAGCTTGTGAAATACAGGTTCTTTTTTGTTTGTTTCTTTGTTTTCATTTTTTTTCTTTATTTTTTTTTCTTATTTTACATATTGATCCCTGATGGGAGATGTCATTCTGTAAATATATTTCTCATACTGATTAATGAATAAAGCACTGTTGGCCAATAGGGAAGCAAGATGGGTAGGACTAGGCGACAAGGAGGATTCAAGGAAGTGGTAGGGAGGGGTCAGCATGTAGAGAGAGGAGAGAACAGAGGTCCTGGCCCACTCTCCAGTAAGATGAGACCACATGAAAATACTTAGATTAATAGAAATGGGTTAATAATTGAGACAGAGCTAACTGGTAAGAAACAAGTAACTGGCCAACAGCATTATATCAAATACAGAGTCTCTGTGTGTTATTTGGGGCTGTCGCCATGGTGGGTCCAGGCCAGCAGGAAAAAAAACCTTACCCCTAACAGATCCCAGTTCCCTCTCCTTCCCTCCCTCCTTCTTTCCCTCCCTCCCATGCCCCCAACCTCCCTCCCATCCCATCCCCACACACACACTCCACAGGGAAGGTGATGCCTTCCAGAAGGGATCATCAAAATCTGTCAAATTATTTGGAGTAGGGACTAGGCCTTCCCTTCTGCCTCTAGGCTAAGGGAGTATCCATCCATGGGGAATGTGCCCCCAAAGTCCTTTTGTGCACCAGGGATACATCCAGGTTCCACTGTCAGAGGTCCATTAGACTTCCCAGGCCTTCTAACTGAGACCCACATTAAGGGGGTCTGAGTCCATATAATGCTGGTTTCCCAGCTATCAGTCTGGGGGTCCACGAGCTCCCCCCTGCTCAGGTCAGCTGTCTCTGTGGGTTTCTGTAGCCTGGTCTTGATCCCTTTTCTTATCACTCCTCCCTCTCTGCAATTGGTTTCCAGTTCAGCTCAGTGTTTAGCTGTGGGTGTCTGCTTCTGTTTCCATCAGCTACTAGATGAGGGCTCTATGGTGGTGGATAAGTTAGTCATCAATCTCATTATCAGGGAAGGGCATTTATGGTAGCCTTTCCACTGTTGTTCAAATTGTTAGTTGGGGTCAGTCCTGTAAGTCTCTGGACATTTCTCTTGGTTCAATTTTCTCTTCAGACCTATAATGGCTCCCTCTTTATAGAATCTCTCTTCTCTTCTCTCTCTCTCTCTCTCTCTCTCTCTCTCTCTCTCACACACACACACACACACACACACACACACACACACACACATCTTTCTCAGCCCCTTTATCATCTGTATATGGTAGGACTACTGATTTTTTGTTGTTGTTGTTAATCTTGTATCCTGCCACTTTGCTGAAGGTGTTTATCAGCTGTAGAAGTTCCCTGGTAGTTTTTCAGGTCACTTATATAAACTATCATATCAACTGTGAATAGAGACAATTTGACTTCTTCCTTTCCAATTTGTATCCCCTTGATCTCCTTTTCTTGTCTTATTGCTCTATCTGGAACTTAAGTACAATATTGAAGAGATAATGGAGAGAGTGGGCAGCCTTATCTTGTTCCTGATTGTAGAGGAATCATGTTGAGTTTCTTTCCATTTAGTTTGATGGTGGCTGTTGGTTTACTGTATATTGCTTTTATTATGTTTAGATATGTTCATTGTTATCACTGATCTCCTCCAGACCTTTATCATGAAAGGGTGTTGGATTTTGTCAAAGGCTTTTTCAGCATCTAGTGAGATAATCAAATGGTTTTTCTTTTTCAGTTTGTTTATATGGTGGATTGCATTAATTGATTTTTGTTTGTTGAACGAATCCTGCATCCCTGGGATCAGGCCTACTTGGTCATTGTGGATGATTTCTCTGCTGTGTTCTTGGATTTGTTTTGCCAGTATTTTATTGAGTATTTTTGCACCAATGTCCATGAGGGATATTGGTCTGTAGTTCTCTTTCTTAGTTGTGTTGTGTGGTTTGGGTACTTCATAAAAAGAGTTTGGCAATGAACCTTCTGTTTCTATTGTGTGGAACAATTTGAGGAGTAATGATATTAGCTCTTCTTTGAATTGCTGGTAGAATTCTGCACTGAAGCCATCTGGCCCTGGGCTTTCTTTGGCTGGGAGATTTTTGTCTGTTTAAATTGCTTATCTGTTCTGATTTAATTTTGGTAAATGATATCTATCCAGAAAATTGTCCATTTCCTTTAAATTTTCTAATTTTGTGGAGTGCGGGTTTTCAAAGTATGACCTGAAGAGTCTCTGGATTTCCTCAGTGTCTGTTCTTATGTCCCCCTTTTCATCTCTGATTTTGCTAATTTTCATGTTCTCTCTCTGCTTTTTGGTTAGTTTGGATAAAGGTTTATCTCTCTTGTTGATTTTCTCCAAGAACCAACTCTTTGTTACATTGATTCTTTGTATTATTTTCTTTGTTTCTACTTTATTCATTTCAGCCCTTAATTTGATTATTTCCTGGCATCTACTCCTCCTGGGTGAGCTTGATTCTTTTTGTTCTAGAGCTTTCAGTTGTGCTGTTAATTATGTAATGTGACTATTCTCCATTTTCTTCATGTGGGCACTTAGTGCTATAAACTTTCCTCTTAGTACTACTTTCAAAGTGTTCCATACATTTGGGTTTGTTGTGTCTTCATTCTCATTAAATTCCAGGAAGTCTTTAATTTCTTTATTTCTTCCTTGACCCAGGAATGGTGCAATTATGCACTGTTCAATTTCCATGAGTTTGTAGGGTTTCTGCAATTTGTGTTATTGTTAAATTTTAACTTTAAAGTATGATGGTCTGATAAGATACAGGGGGTTTATTCCATTTTTTTAATCTGTTGAGGTTTGCTATGTTGCTGAGTACATGATCCATTTTAGAGAAGGTTCCATGTTTAGCTGAGAAAAGGGTATATTCTTTTGTGTTTGGATGGAGTGTTCTATACATGTCTGTTAAACCCAATTGGGACATAACTTCTGTTAGTTCTTTTGTTTCTTTGTTAAGTTTCTGTCTGGTCATCCTGTCCAATGGTGAGAGTGAGGTGTTGAAGTCTCCCACTATAAGTGTGTGAGGTTTTATGTGAGCTTTGAGTTTTAGTAGCATTTTTTTTCGAAGGTGGGTACCTTTGTATTTGGGGCATAGATGTTCAGAATTAAGACTTTATCCTGCTGGACTTTTCCTGTGATGAATATGAAATGACCTTCTTCAACTCTTTTGAATTCTAATTTGTTAGATATTAGGATAGCTACACCAGCCTGTTTCTTGGGTCCATTTGATTGGAAAATATTTTCCCAACCCTTTACTCTGAGGTAGCATCTGTCTTTACAGTTGAGGTATGTTTCTTGTATGCAGCAGAAAGATGAATTCTGTCTTCATATCCATTCTGTTAGCCTGTGACTTTTTAATTGGTGAGTTAAGACCATTAATATTGAGGGAAATTAAGGACCATTGATTGTTAATTCTTGTTTGTTTTGGATTTGTTTATAATGGTGATATTGTGTGTAGATTTACCTGGCTATTTTCTTTTGGCTTCTGGTAAAGCGGTATTATCTATTGCCTATATTTTTGTGAGTATAGTTAACTTCCTTGGGTTGGAGTTTTCTTTCCAGAACTTTCTTAGGACTCTATTTGTACTATGTAAATCTCATTTGTTGTGGAATATCTTGTTTTCTCCATCTATAGTGATTGAGGGTTTTACTGGGTATAGTAGTATAGGTTGGCATCCGTGGTCGCTTAGTGTTTGTAAAACATCTATCCAGGACCTTCTGGTTTTCAGATTTTCCACAGAGAAGTCAGGTGTAATTCTGTTAGGTCTGTCTTTATATGTTATTTGGCATTTTTCCTTCACTGTTCTTAATATTCTTTCTTTATTCTGTATGTTTGGTGTTTCGATTATTATGTGGCAGGGGTACTTTTTTTTTTAATCCAGTCTATTTGGTGGTTAGTAAGCTTCTTGTACTTTCATAGGCATGTGCTTCAGGTTGGGAAAGATTTCTTCTATGATTTTGTTGAATATGTTTTCTGCACCTTTGAATTGGGCTTCTTCGCCTTCTTCTATACCTATTATTCTTAGGTTTGGTCTTTTTGTGGTGTCCCACATTTCCTGGATATTTTGTGTTAAGGATTTGTTGGATTTAAGATATTCTTTAGTTGATTAATCTATTTCTCTAATTTATCTTCAGCACCTGAGATTCTCTCTTCTATCTCTTGTATTCTGTTGGTTATGCTTACATTTGTAGTTCCTGATTGTTTACCCAGCATTCCCTCAGTTTGTGTTTTCCTAATTGTCTCTATTTCAGTTTTCAGGTCTTGAACTGTTTAAATTGTTTCCTTCATCTATTTGATTGTTTTTTCTTGGGTTTCCTTGCTTTAAAAGATTTGTTGATTTCTTGCATTTTTTGGTTTGTTTTTTCTTCCATTTCATTAAGGGATTTTCTCATATTCTTTTTCAGGGCCTCTATCATTTTCATGAAGTTGTTTTTTAGGCCATTCTCTTCTGCTTCATCTGCATTGGAATGTTCAAGTCTTGTTGGTGTAGAATCCCTAGACTCTGGTGGTGTTGTATAAGTCTGTTGTTGGATGTGTTCTTATACTGTCTTCTTCCCTTCTCTTCTTCCAATGGGTACAGGTGGGGTTGCTCCCTCTTCTGGTGGGTTTATGTTCAAGGCTCTATCTTCTCCTCTCTCTCTCTCTCTCTCTCTCTCTCTCTCTCTCTCTCTCTCTCTCTCTCTCTGGTGGTGGATGGTGGATGCTTTGTCTTGCCTCCAGGTCCCTCTGGGGGATTCAGTGGCAGGAAGCTTCTGGACACTGAAGGTCAGGGGGTTGGAAGCGGGCAAGGTAAGTTCTCTACCAGAGGGTGGAGGAGCATGTCTTTATGGTTCCTGAATTTTGTTGGAAACTGTTTTAATGTCTCTCTTTTAATTTCTGTTTTATTAAGCATGCTCCATCTTTCATTTGCTTAATTTGACTAAGGGTTTGTCAATCTATTTTAAAGAACCAACTCTCTGTTTTATTGATTCTTTGTATTGGTTTTTTATTTATCATTTCCTTAATTTCAGTCCTGATCTGGGGTATTCCTAGCTACTGTTTTGGAATTTGCATTGTTCTTGTTTTTTCAAGGCTTTAAGATGAATTATTAAATTGTTAACTTGAAATATTTTTTTATGTAGGCACCATATGCTGTATGTAAAAAAAAATTTTTTGGGTTGTCATCTTGTGTTACATTGGTTTTGGTCTATTATTTCTACTTTCATTCAATTCTTGGAATAGTTTTTACTTCCTTCTTGGTTTCTTCAATGACACAATTATTCAACAATATGTGATTTAATCTCCATGAGTTGATATACTTCTTGTAGCTTTTATTTCTGTTGATATCTAGCTTTATCCCTTTGTGGTCAGATAGAATATAAGATTTTATTTCAACTTTCTTATATTTGTTGAAATTTATTTTGTGTCTTAATATGTTATATATATATTTTTAGAAAGTGTTATGGGCTGCTTAGAAAAAGAATGTATATTGTTTAGTTATTGGATGAAATGTAGACATTAGGTCTGTTAGCCATCTCACCAGCACTAAGGAGCAAGAAACATTGCAGAAGAATTAGAATGTAAAAGCTGGGCTGGAGAGATGGCTCAGATGTTAAAGGCTAGGCTCACAACCAAAAATAGAATGTAAGAGCTAAAGGATAGGGAGGAATACTGTGAAGTGTCATGCTGTGGACATGATATGGCTGTCATAAAGAACTCATACCACCTGTGGTTACCTGCACAAGATCAAGCCAACTAAAATTCTGCCATAAACAGAGTAGATAAACACCAGCTTTCAAGGAGCTCTTGGAAGCAGATAATTGCTGTGGGAAGACGAATCATACTTCTGTAAGGATATGGCCACTAGTCGAATGGATGGTTCCACACATATACATACATGGGCTATTAAAAAAAAAAAGATATGCAATTGGGAGGGAAATCATAGGTTGGCACAAGAGGAGTTGGAAGGAGAAATAGGAGTAGATAATATATTTCATTGTATACATGAATGGAATTCTCAAAAATAAGATAAATATTAAGTAAAAAATGTGTGTTTTCTTTTGGGATACAGAGAAGTGCTAGGATGCTTACAGAATATCTCTTCCTGTTCACTGCCTTGGAGTTGTTTGTGGCATCCATAGCAACTGAGTGGACCTATAAAGCAAGACAAACAGAAGACTAAAACAGTGAGTCCATCATTTCTCCTTCAGTAAACAGAAGCTACTAACTTCTGTGATATATCCTGTTCAAATAATTTAAAAAGAATTAAGCATCAGTAGTGTCATCTCTAAACTGTGGGTAGAGGTAGGTGAAAACATTTTGCAATACTATTCTGCACTAAACAGCTCTTTCTGTAATTGAAGCCAAATAAATTACCCTATATGAAATAAGTGTGGCTGAGGACACAGCTCAGCAGTAGAGGACTTCTGTAGCATTAGTGAGACTCCCTGTTTGATAACTAGAGGAAGAGCATAAAAAGAAGTCGGGGTGGGTAACTTGGGATAGAGGGCAGTGACAGAGATACTGGTGCTGGGTTTTCTATTCAGCACGACTTGACTGACCATAGTTTCCACCATCTACCTCCACAAACACAGTGCCCAAGCTTTATCACTTGATTCTTACTCCATAGACATACCTTGTTCAGTGTGCCATCTTAATTTGCAGGCGAAATTCCTAAAGGAATCTACCTGAAATTAATGTGATAAAATTAAAAGGGAAGACGACATTATTAGATACATTTTTTTCTTAGATTTTTCCACTTTATCTTGCCTCAGAAGCTACCTCTGAGAGTACTTATACTCAATCACTATTTGCCTTTCAATAAATTTTCCTCAGCTAATGTGGTGAAATATGGGGTTGAAATAGCACTCATAAACTTTAAAGACACATGGCTGGGACTGAAGTAATGGCTCAGTGGTTAAGAACACTTGATGCTCTCCCAGAAGGCCCAGGTTTGAGTCACAGAACCCACATTTTGGCTTACAACCATCCATAATTCCAGTTCCAGGGAATCCAACAACTCTCTTCTGGCTACTGAGGATATCAGAAACATGCATGGTGCACAGGTAGACATGTAAACAAAACACTCATACACATATAGAAATATTTTTAAAGGTATATGTGGCTTTACTTAAAAGTGAAACACACAATTCTCTGAACAAAGGAACAAGAGAAAGAACATAATTTGAAATGGTTTCCTACTCATACTAATAAAATTTAAATGGAGAGGAGCAGAATATATAGGAGAGGAAAAGGGAGGAAGGGAAATAAATGGCAGGAAGAAAAGGAGAGGAAAATGGATTAAAAATAATAAGAATTTTTTTAAAAAACAGCATGGTTCTGAGATATGTATCTCAGATGAAGCCTTTGTTATCATGTGTAAGGCTATGGGCTCCAGGACCAACATAAAAGAAAACAAACAAACAAACAAAACAGCTTATAATCTTGTTTATTTAAGACTCTCTGTGATATAACTATTTCATGACTATTTCCCCTTAGATTTCCTTAAAAGTGCTACTGAAATTGTATAGTTCTTGCATTGCATTAATGAGCAATTTCCTACCATCCATGTTACCTCAGGTTCCCAGAGGAAAACACACCTTTTCCTACATGTTAAAAGAAGTATCATGGCCTGAGTCAAGGAGAAAAGTGCAATGATGAGTGAAGAACTTCACTTAACTCAAGGGACTGCTCAGAAGTGGAATTGTATTGTCTGCCTCAGTATTTCCTCTCCTCCATTTCATTAATTAAAAAATGATAGCAATGAATATGTTTGTCTTAGTGTGTTGGAAATTCAACATGAATCTATTTCATTGTCATAAATTAATCCAGGGTTGAATCTAGTAAGCCTGAAATAAAGGGTACTGCTAAACCCAAAAAAAATCTCATGGATGGGCGTGGACTTTTCTAGCATGGACTCTACACCTAAGGATGAGTTGAAGTAATGCTGCCTCAAAGCAATTTCATAATGAAAAGATAGATAAGCCAGCTCATCATCCTGTGAAGCAGACTAGCTCTAAACATCAAACTCTGTCTAACTAGCTACTGTTAAATGATGCATAATTTATCTATGGAATGGAGTATGTGTAACTGAGACCATATAAATGAATGTCCACAGAAGTATTTTACTAGAAATTTCATTTTCTGCAATATTTTATTCTTTTTCCAACAGCTTTTCTATTTGACTCATTATACTTAAATTTTATGAATTTTAGATAAATTATCTTCCCAGCAATATTCCTCTGTATCTGTGAATACCTTTTTTCTACAGTGTATTTTGTACCCTCCTGATCTCTCTCTCTCTCTTTCTCTTTCTCTCTCTCTCTCTTCTTATTTTACATATCGATCCCAGTTCCCTCTCCCTCCCTCCCTCCAATGCCCCCTGACTTCCCTCCCACCCCATTCCCCTCATATACTCCACAGGGAGAGTGAGGCCTTCCAGGAGGGATCAACAAAATCTGTCAAGTCAGATGGAGTAGGGACTAGGCCCTCCCGCCTGCCTCTAGGTTAAGGGCATTTCCCTCCATGGGTAAAGTGCTCCCAAAGTCCTTTTCTGCACCAGGGATACATCCTGTTTCCACTGTCAGAGGTCTCTTAGTCTGCCCAGGCCTTCTAACTGAGACCCATGTTCAAGGGGTTTGGGTCAGTCCAATGCTGGTTTCCCAGCTATCAGTCTGGAGGTCATGAGCTCCTTCTTGTTCAGGTCAGCTGTCTCTGTGGGTTTCTGTAGCCTGGTCTTGCCCCCATTTTCTTATCATTCCTCCCTCTCAGCAACTGGATTCCAGGAGTTGGGCTCAGTGTTTAGCTGTGGGTGTCTGCTTCTACTTCCATCAGCTACTGGATGACCCTCCTGGTCTCTTAAAAGCTCCCAGATCCTGATACCCAGCACTGTTGGTTCTGGTCTTCCAATGTGGCAGCCAGATTCTTTTTGCCATTGCTTAGAACTGGAGTTCACATGAGCAGTCAGTAGTCATCTACTCTAAACTCTATTCCTGGTGAACTGGAAACCATAGTTCTGGGGGGGGGGCAGATATACAGATGTAGCAAGAAGAAATAAGGAATGAGGAACAAGATTTGAATACTTTGACAATAAAGGAATATTAAATGAAATAAAGTTCATAAACCATGGAAGGAAATGAACTAAATTATGTAGAAATGTAGATGCTGGCAAATACAACTCTTAATTCTTAGTGAACATGGAAGTAATGAATGATGTATGAATACATATGCTGGAGAAAAGAATGTGAAGGCTTTGACTTGCCTTTCAAGCAAATAGAAAGCCATCTGAAAATAGGAGGATGAGAAGATAGCTCAGTAGATAAAGTGCTTGCCACACAAGCATGAGGACCTTTGTTTGAATCCCCAGGACCCACATCAAGCCGGTTATGGCAGCACACACATCTTCCATACCCCCTCTTATATGAGGAGCCTGGGTGACAGAAGAGCATTCCCAGAACCTAACTGCTAATTGTTCAGTTGTTTCTATTTGAGGTTGCATTGTGGTTTGGATGTGAAAATGTTCGTATGCTGGGTTCCCAGTGGTGGCACTGTTTGGGAGTAAGTACCTTGCTAGAGGAAGTATGTCCCTGGAGGTGGATTTGGGAATTTGACAGCCTGGCCACATCTCTTGTTCTCTCTTTGCCTCCTGACTTTCAGCCTGACCTCAGGCTCCTGCTACCAAGCCTTCTCTACCACAAGGGATTCTATCCTCTTGGAAGTGTAAGCTAAAATGAATCCTTCCTTCCCTTAAGTTACTTTTTGTCTGGGCACTTTCTCAAAGCAAACAAAAAGAAACTAAAACAGGCTGCTATGAATAATGTGACTATAAATATTTATGGACAAGCTTTTATGCACTTGTATTATAAAATGGATGTGGGTATATACCAAATAGAATAATCTCTAATGATACAGGATAAACATAGGCAATCCTTAGAAGAACATCTATTATTCAAATATACTTATCCCAAAGTATCTGCAAAGTTTATGGGTTCCAAGCTCTCTGTATAATCACCAACACTTATTTTCGTCTGTCTTTACCTGTTGTATTCACCCTGGTGGGTGTGAAATGATATCTTGATATTGGACTTGCATTAAGCTAGTCAGTAATGGGATTCAACATCTTTTCATGTGTTTATTGACCATTGTAAATTATTTCTGAACATATAAACTCTTTTGTCAATGCTTAGTAAGGTTACATTATTATCCTCATTACAGGTTGTAAAGGGTCTTTACTTATCCTCAACTGAGATCCCTTCTGAGATGTAAGTGGAGACACTGTGATATTTCAACCTCAATCCTTGCAAATATTTGCTTCCATTATATGAGTCATCATTTTTTTACATTTTTATTAATTTGTAGTGTAAAAAATAATGGGTTTTACAGTGACATTTTATACATGCATTTCATGGATTTGTCCATGCTCTTACCAAATCACCTCCTTGATATGTCATTGAAGTCAGTTTGCATGATTTTATTTTAAAAATTGCCTCTGTGCTGATCCAAGAAATTGCTCTATAGTTTGGAGGCCTCTAAAATGTTGTGAGTGATCTATTTGGTTTGTAGCAGGGAGGAACCTTGCAGCAATAGTCCTGCTTCAGCCTCCTAAATTCCAGGATTATAGGTGTGAGTTACCACCTTTGTTATTAAGAGAATAACCTTCTAGACTAGTTTGGTAGTTCTTTCTGAAGCTGTGGGTGGGTGGTGAACTGTCTCCTGTCTCCAACTGAGGTCTTGTCTGCCCTCCCTCCAAGAATGGAGTGAGCAGACATTAAGGAAGAAAGAAAGGTGACTATTAGCAAGGAGGGAATAACAATTGTAAAAGAAAAAACTACAAGACCCTTGGTGGTAAGAGATACTAAACAAGAGGCAGTGTTCAAGCTCTAAATCCACAGTTGGTTTGGGGAGAGAGATTACTTGTGTTACATGTCTGCACTCTCCAAAGGTCTTGGGGTGCCAGCCTAGAGCAATCTCTTACAAACCAAGTCTGCAGCATGCCAAAGCGAGTTTTCCAGGAACTTTCTGCTCTGGGCAGAAGCCTCGGGCATGAGAAACTACTGAGTCCATCTCCTGTTTCCATATTCCTCAAGTCTTGAGCATCCATGAACAGTCCACATCCAGAGACAGCATCTGGGCTCTGAAGTCTGGGTGGGGTCTTCCTCCTCCACCAAGTTCCATGAGTAGAATGTGTCTTGAAACCTGAGCATGCCAGAATGTGTTGAGAAACCAGCTGGGCCCTAATTGGTTGAGTGTGGGTCACAGCAGGATAAGATTTAGGACCTGCCAGGGAAGAGTTACCAACCTCTAACTTCTGGATATTCCCAGTGATTACAGTCAACTTCTGCCTGCTCAGAGAGCCATGCAGCACATAGGAAGCTCACACTGGGCCATTCCGACCCCTACCACTTCTTTATTGTTGTTTTCCTTTATTATTACTTATTTGAGAGTTTTTATACAATGTGTGTTATGTTTATTTTTAATCCTTCAAGACCAGTTTGTGCTGCCCAAATATGCATTCTTCGCTGTGTGTTCTTCCACTGGAGAGTGGTCAACCTACTAAGGGCTACATTCTTAGAGAAAACTCTCTTTCTCCCTGCCAGCAGCTAACAATTGCCAGTAGCTCCATGGCTATGGGTAGGGCTGTCAATCCTCCCCACCTGCCATGCTAGAATTTGGTCTGGTTTGGGCTTGCACAAGTTTTGTACATAGCGTGACAAATGCTGTGAGTTCATGTGTGCGGCTACCCTGCCATGCCCAAAAGATGATGTTTCCTTGCAGTCATCCATCTCCCCTAGTTCTTACAGTATGTCTCTCCCCACATTCTCAGTGTTCCCTTCTCTTATCTGTTAGAACATACATCAAATATCCCCAGAAATGATGCACTGCCTGGTACAGAGGAAATTTAATGGAGGACAAGGAGAGGAGATGAAACAAAGTTTCAAATTATAACTTTGAGGTGAGGTGGGATGGTTAAATGAGATTTGTCATGCATGTGTTCACAGACCCTCAGTAAATCCAAAATGCTAACAAGACTTCAAACTTGCCCCATCATCTCCCTGGTTCCCTATCCTCAGTCCACACACGGGCCTTCTCCTGGAATACTTGGAAGGCTGGCCTCTTGTGAGACCTGATACCTGCCCTCTGCTTGCCCCAGGTTTCCCCAGGCCTCTCTAGAGCTATGGGCTTCTTTATGCCTTTGATCACATGTCCTGTTTTCAGGGAGGCTCTTGTGCACACCATGCACCCTGCATCTCTCTTCTGAGGGTTATTTATTTTCTTCTTAGCTTTAATTCTGACACAACGTTTTCTTGTGGGTCTTGTTTATTATTGATTTCACTATAATAAAGTTCACAAAAGAGGTATTCCACTTGTTTCCTTCACTGTTGTTTGAGATCAGTACCTGGCACATACAAGTCCTTGATGAAAATGCATTGTATTGTTAGGCCAAAAGAGGGAGCCTACTATTGTTGTTTTGCTAAATACTCATGCTGTCAAACTGTGTTCTAAATGTTTATATTTATACCTGTAGATCTGTATTGCTCTCAACCATGGTTAGAGAAGATTCTTTTTGCAGAAGTTCATTCAGAGACCCATAGCTGATCAAAGAACTGAGAATAAGGGGCTATGAGTGCCCAGCTGTATATGGCTCATCCATATCAAACTCCCCCATCCAAGGCTCAGCAAACATAGCAGAAAGGAGGATTGAAAGAATGTAAGAGACAGAGGGTGGGGGTAAAACTTCAAAATTCTATCTTATGGACATGATATGGCT